CAGAATTCTTTGCCGACTGTTTTCTCTATGAATGAAGAAAATAAAGTAAATATTTAACTGTTGTGAAAAGAATCTTATTTAGTTGTACAAAGTACTTCAGCCAAAATTTGGGAGCCACGTAAGAGAATTATATATATTAGATCAGAAACACATCATTAAAAGTCAGAATGCTTTGGTGTTTTCAAAACAAAGCAAACGTTGCCACCGGCGGAAAAGAAATACAGCCAAAATTTGGGAGCCACGTAAGAGAATTATATATAATAGATGTTCTCAAATTAGGAAGCGTTCTGGTTGCACAGCACCTGAAATTCGAAGAAATTGTGCAATAACTAAAACTATGTACATAAATGAAAATTATTTGCTAGAGATTCTGACTTTCTAAACATTAAGGTGAACGATAATTATGTTAAGGGAAAGATTATGTATTTACCTTCAAGAATTTACTCATTGGAGCTTTTCGAGAATTGTCTGAGAGCAAATTTCTTTAAGATTTCGAATTTGATAGCATTATAAATTGCATCGATCAGAAATCACGAAATTTTCGGTATTTGAAAAGAAAAAATATCGAATTTCGGTAAGCCTCTTCCATTCTAAATATAAAAAAATTGTTCACAGATTAGCAAATAAAATAAAAAGTTTCAAAACCCGTACATCTTTTAAAAATTAGTGCATGCTATACGTGGTTAAAAATAGCTAATATTAGGTATTGTTTTGTTTAATATTTCCTTTTTAGTATTGGTTTTCCCACACCATACTTGTATATTGTAATCCAATCACAGAATAGGGGTAAATGAGGATAAGGGTATCTTTCTAAAGAAGACAGCGAAAGGAGGGGGAGTGGTTGAAATTTCTATCGTTTTTCTTTTTATCGAGCATTTTTGTAGGAAAGATATTACTATTTTGAAAATCATACTCTGAGAAAACCAAAAACTTATCAAGGACCCTATCACAGAATTTGGGGCCCCAATTTTTTTAGTGGAAGGACTTTCAAGTACTATGGGAACCATAGTTTAAATGACTAGTTTAAATTTTTAATAGTTATCAACATTTATTGTTTTCCACAAAAATTACGAACAATTTTTGTTCTTAATTGAAATTTTAACTTTGTTGAAAATTAAGTTTCTGAATACCAAAAAAAAAAGTTTAGAGATATTTAGTTATTAAATACTTTTCATTTTTTGAAGATCTCTAAGAATCAAACACATACTAAAACAACTGTTTTTAAATCATGTGTTCAACAGAAAGATTGAAGTTCAACAATTAATTTCTGTCAGCATTGTTTTTTTTTCTTTCCAAGTCTATAAAAGTTGAGTAAATAAAAGTCTATAAAAGTGAAATAATATTTTAAATAAAATATGTTTAAGTACAATGAAAAAATACCCACAAGCAGTATGAGATTTCGATAACTGTTTTGAATATAAGTTGGTCCATTAAAAATGACTGATGTGCTGACATCTTTTGCTCTCCCCTGAACTAGAATCATATCGTCGATAACAGATGGGATGTCCAAGTTAGTTATCTCCTGCATGTCAGGAAGAATTCCTCTGTGAAGACGAGCATCAAGAATATCATCAGCACAATTCTAAAAAATATAAGCACTTGAAATAATTTATCTTTTAGTAATAAGTTTTAGTTATCTCTAATTTCCATTCTAGCTAGAGTGAGTGATTATTAGGTTTGAGAGAGGACATTTTATTTCTTCCAAATTAATGATTTCTGTGCCCCAGTTTTTGGGTCAAAAAACTAAGCACTTTGACAAATTCTTAAGTAAACGAATTTTATAAAGATACTTAGAACATGTATAAAAAAAAAACGGATCACCCGTAATGACTTTTGATTACGGATGAATGGATGATTGGATCTTCACATTCTAGGACAATCTTAATAGTTTGAGAGGATGACGTCAAATATGCCGATTAATAAATGTAGACGATATTTTAAGTTAGGAAATTGGGCACAAAAACATACTTTCTCTGAATAGACAAACCTTTTTTTCAACAAATTTGGATTTATGACCCCCCCCCCCCAATTAGTCGCAATCTGGGAAATATGGTTCCAAAAGTTTGGTTAGGAGAGCTCTCCAAAGTTCGGATCCCTTAATGTTCATTTTACTTTTTGCACACAGTTATAAAATTCATTTGTCCTAAATTAATTTTAAAAAAATAATTTTTAGAAAATATTTATTATTATTTTATTCAATAATAGTCAAAAAAATTTTGAATTGTAATATGTACAATTTTTTGCGTCATTTTAAAAAATATAATTTTACATGGAAGAACACAAAATTTGAGCAAAAGCAATTGAATAGTTCGTGAGAAATTTGATTTAAAAAAAGTCAGGTATTTAAAATTTAAAGTATTAGACCGATTTTTTGCTCAAATTTTATATTTTGCCCTGTAAAATTATATACCTTAACAATTTAAAAAATTTTCAACCATTATAAAATAAAATAATAATTAATATTTACTAAAAAAATTTTTTCTTCATGGAATTACCTTTGGACAAATGAATTTTATAACTGTGTGCAAAAACTGTTTAATTGGCTTAAAAAGTTCTCGAGATATAGAGAAATATGCAAGGAGTAAAATTAACATTATAGAGTCCAAACTTTGGTGCAATCTCTTTACCAAACTATTGGGACCATATATTTTGGGGATCAGTAAAAAAAAAGGGTATGTTCCGAATCCGTCAAAAAAAAGGTATGTTTATTCAGAGAAAGTACGTTTTTGTGTCTGATTTCGTAACTTTAAATATCGTCTGCACTTCTTAATTAGCATTTTTGAGGTCACCCTCTGGAACCATCTAAATTGAGTCCAAGAACATGAAAATCCAATCACTAGATCAAAAGTTATTTAGATTCAGGGTAGTCCTCTTTTTTTTTAATTGTGCACTGCACGTGTGACTCTAAATATCATAAATTCTTTCTTCACAGATATTTCATATTACTTTATTCATAACAAGGTTCCAAATGTCATAAGTCAGGATTTGAACCTGGTACTTATTGTAAGTCTTTCTTATTTTTCCATATTGCTAAATACCCCCGCTTGTCTGTGTTCGTTTAAAAATTACAAGGCTACGGAGTTGAACACTGATAGTCATAAACTCCGAAATGGATCAACTGTTTAATGCTCATTATAAAATCTAATCATTCATTTTAAATGTCAATATCCACAAAGCATTACATTGTTTGGTTTAAGGTAGTAGGATAGTTTGTTTAAGATGAAGTGCAAGTGAAAAATAAATATAAATTTTAAAAGAAAGAATCTGTTTACAAATAGGTGTAAATGAAATGGTGATTTAGATTTAAATACTATATATAATTAGGTTGTGAATGTAAAGATTTTGTATGTTCTTTTAAAACATCTAATTCAATAACAACTGTCCTATCAAACAAAAATTTATATGAATGATACTCTACAGGAAAAACTTGGGTAGTAGTCTTATTTATTTTTGAATGAAATAATATATTTTCATACATACAATATATCGACGCTGACTTTTTAAAATAACTGCAGCAACATTTAAAGCTACGCTTCTCCACATGCAATATATAAGATGTTTATTCTCCCTCTCTGCATTTTTCAGAAAAGAAGTTTCAATTTGTATCATCTAAAAATGATTTATCAGTAAAAATCAATACATTAACATATCAAAATTAGTATTAAGGAACATTTCATCAATTTATAAAAAGTCACAGGTTCAGACACTTTTTTTTATAATAAAAAACATTATAAAATTATTATAATAGTGCAAAAATAAATAAAATGTTAATTAAATATTTAAAATTAAATGTAGCTACATTTTTAAATTTAAATATTAATCAAATTAAACCACATCCAGTACCTTCCTATGTGCAAAGTATCAGATAATTCGTGCTGATTCTTCTTATTGGACAAGCAAATCACATTACATTTCAGAATCATCAGGAATTGTCAGGATAAAATTAATAAGAGTTGTTATGTATTCCTTTCTACATTGGTTTTTAGTAAACGTATAAACATGTTTTTAGTTTTTAATATTTTTTTAAGTACTTAATCAAATTAATCATTTTATACATTTCACATACAATTGTACCTGCAGTCAACTTTCTAAATTTTCATAATTAATACAAAATAGATATTTAACCGATTGAACAGTGAACCCTCTTTTAGAAAAGGAACTAAAAATTTTCCCTCTTCCAAAGAAAGTGTAACATATTTGAGTATGCAATGTTATGTTGACTAAGTTCGCCGCACCAGGGATGCTACTAAATTTTGTTAACATTTCGTCTATCACTGAGGATATTTTATGTTAATATTGTGGTCAGTGCGATACGGGTGTAGTATTCGTATCGACCAGCCATCACTGGGATTCGAACCTGGTTCATCTCATTGGAAGGCAAATGCTCTATCCTCGAGCCACCACGGCTCAATTAGAGTTCAATTTCTGAAAGAATTTAGTAGAAAATCAAATTTTTGGACCATTTTTAAATCATTTTAATAGTAATCAAAAAAATTAAACGCTTTTTTATAGTAATCAGAAAATAAAATAAAAATTTAATGAAAAGCTTTCTCATGAAGATGCAATACAGTAGAAGATCTTTATAATTAAAACCTTGAAACAAAAGGTTTTGCATTTCATGGACACAAATCATTTCACATACACCTAAACTTACCTACTAAATATGGCATGGAAATTAATCTGAAACAGATTAATCACAAAATGCTTTAAATTGGACACAAATACTTAATTTGGACACAAATACTTAAAAATACCATATTCACTTCAGTATTTATTATTTACAAATAAATAAATAAAATTATCTAAAGAATTAGATAAAAATATTGGGTTTGCTTAGCTATTGAAATTGCAAACTCTTAACAAATAATAAAATAAATAATGTAAAAAATTAATTGTTTTTACTCAGTTACAGAAACTTTTTAAGCTACAAGTTTTGTAGGTTACACCTATAAAAGTTAATATGATTTATGGAGAATTGCGGTTTATAGAATTGCATTTCACATATCCTCAACTAATCTTGAAAATTGCATTATTTATGACGCTCTTATTGCATTATTTGCTAAACAAAATTAATATACTCCAATTAAGTTTAACAAAATTATGGTAGAAATATTGCAAAGGTTTTAAATTTGAATTTTTAGAAGAAAGTATCTAAGCACAGGGTGGCCATTCTCTAAATAAAACTGAATTCCAAGAAATTTCCAAAATAAAATTCAAAAGATTTACCAAATATTTGTGATAAAAATTAGACAATTTAAAGTTTTCGTATATTTATGCATATAAAGAACATATGACCAGCATATCTAGCAGAAAAAAATTTATTAATTAAAACTTATTGCTTTTTTAAATAATAAAATACATAATAATTCTTAATTTTCACAATCACAAAATCAATATGAATGAAAATATAAATTAAATTTTTAATAACAAACGAAAACTAATTTTAATAAAAGATATGCTTGTTTAATAAAAAGTCAAAATAATTAATTAAATTTATTTATTAAGAAAAAATTGAATTATTTTCAAAATAAAAATGACAAAAAATATATTCAACGAGATACGTTTTTAGAACAGCTGCAGTGTGCAATAATAGATTGAAACACATTAGCAGTGAATTTTTAAGTGATTATTGGTACAGAGATTCCCAGGTACCACTTCCAAATACCAGGTTTTCCCTGATTCCGGAGTTAGTGGACAACATGAAGCAAATTAGTTTAGATTAACACTTAATTCCAATAAAATTAGAAGGCAGAATCTTAGAAGAATGGTTTCTACAGTGATAACAACAGCTCTGTGGTTTCCAATACAGTGAACCACACTTTATCGTTATTCCCTCACAGATTCCCTCAAAAACTAAAGTGTATTTGTGAAAATATTTTACTCACCTCACAATCGTTTTCACACACTGCGGCAGTTACAGACTTGGTTTGCTGGAGATAGCCTAATAATCCTATTGTTCGAGATGATGTTAAATATTCACACACTTGAGATTTTCCCTTCTCTTTAAACATATCATAGGTATCAGAGTTGGGCAGTTGGTTGTATATGTTAATATTCTTCATATCCGATTTTCTCCCTGTTACCTATTTGAGGAAAACATGTGACTAAATTTAAAACAGAATTGGAAATACATGGACTTGAGCTGTTCCTTTGTTATTATATGCAATTTATACCCTTATAAAAACAAATTTTGTTATTATAGGCAGTGTTTCCCAAAGTGTGGTACCCGTACCCCCAGGGGTACAGGAACAGTTTAGTGGGGGTACGCATTTTTATGCGAAATATCTTGCAACAAACGAAAATTTCAAAAGCTTTTATTTAAAAACAAAGCTAGCCATGAAAATTTACGATTACGTATTTTTCTATTGGCTATTTTTTGCAGAGTTAACAGGTAATAATTAGTGGTGTCAACAAACAGTTGTGTTTTTTTACTTTTGTGTAATTTTTTTTAGTAAAGGTTTGTAATAAATTCTATTTATTTTGATTATTTTTATAAAATATAATTTTTATCTCTAACATAGAATATGGATCGCTGGTTTATATCAACAGAACTTTGTACCAAAAAAAATATATAAACATAGTTTTAAAAAAGTATATTCATTTTTTTATTAGTGGTACACAGCGTTACGAAAGGGTACACAAAAGTCATAAGTTTGGGAAACACTGTTATAAGGTATTTAAGGTGCACCAGGTATTGTAATTGGTCAAAGAAAAAATCAGGACAATATTTTTCAAAAAATCAAGACAAAATCAGTAAAATTTTTAGTGCAGTATACATGTTATATTTGAGTGAATTGCATCATTCGTCCTCATTTAAATCATCTAGTCTCAGGGATGAGATTAGCCAAAACGCAAAAAACTGAATTTCCACGATAGTAAATTTTACGCAAGCGCAACCCTTTAATAATAAATTCCAGACAGTTTAAGGTAATAAATAATGTGTTGACATACAATTATGTACTAATCTATTATTATAAAAACGATTACATTGTTACTTAACATTTAGCGAAAAAAAAAATTAACAATTGAAAAAATAAAGCTGGAAATTATATTTTTCCTCAGTTCACATAAGAGACAATTATTACTTGAAAAANGAAACACTGTTATAAGGTATTTAAGGTGCACCAGGTATTGTAATTGGTCAAAGAAAAAATCAGGACAATATTTTTCAAAAAATCAAGACAAAATCAGTAAAAATTTTAGTGCAGTATACATGTTATATTTGAGCGAATTGCATCATTCGTCACCATTTAAATCATCTAGTTCTTCGTTGAAAGGCGCCAGCCTCTCCAGAAGGGAAAGCCCCCGGTATTCACAGTGCCATAGAGTCCAGACGGGAAAAGTCCCAAATAAATTAATAACTCTTACTCTTTACCATAAAACAATCTGATTTAGCATTCTTTCTTGATCCGGCAACCCTGCGAGTAGGCAGCACTCATTGATCATGATGTCGCTGTTAAGCTTATTTCCTTTTTTTCATTAAATGTTAAGTTTCTTTATTAAACCCCTGTGGCAGAATTTGTTTGGGCTTTCTGCGACAAACCTCTCTAGCACTAATATTTTCCTGCAAGATACTTTTAACAATAACTAATATGTATGTTATTAATTAAATTTAAAGTAACAGAAATGTTGTATTCACAAAAAAAAGCCTATTTGGGTATAATAAAATTGTATTTATTATTTTTTTTAAATGAATTTGTAGTATATTTTTATTCTAATCATCTCGGGCGATATTGTCACATTTTGCAAGAGGAAAACACACGAATTATTTCGTTTTTTGCATTTCATAAATCATTATATAAAAAAATAATTAAAAACCGTAAAATCCGTGAAAGGAAAGAAAACCGAAATTAAAAAATCAAGCTAAAATTAATAATTTCTTCCCCTCTGGAAGGGAAAATAAATTTCTGCAGAAAAGAAATTTTTTGCTTCAGTATTCTTTATTTTTCATTTTTCTCAAATAAGAATTGAAAAATTACCAGCATTTCTTTCCCCTCCGATGCGCGAAAAAGGCATCTTTTAAATATAATTTTAAAGAAAAACAAATTTCGAAAATTTTTGCGGAAAGAAAACCAAAATTTTTTACTTTCTAAAGAAAAATTCTTTCTGCGAGAACTCTGTAATATTCTGGGACATTGTCGCCGTGTCGCAGCGAAACCACAGGGTATTAAACTATTGTCTTTATTTCTTTCCTTGCTCCACAGACTCCTACATACATATGTGATATGAGATTACTTTTAAAAAAGCAAATGGCAAACCAAAAAAAGTATAATTAGCTCTACTGAAATGTAATGAAAGGAAATTTCATCACATTAGAATAATAAAATATACTATTTTTAATTTCAGAATTAATTAGAACATAAAGTTTTAAATCAATGCGTTCAAAAATTTTTAAGTACTGCTGTGTTAAAAAAGAATAACCAGTATCAGTTAGATAATATTCCTTTACATGAAAATATAATTCAAATTTGTATTTTCATTCAAGATTTCCTTAATGAAATAATTTTAAAATAGGGTTTTGAGTAATCTCAAAATGAAACCACAGGAATATGCCAATTAACACTTTTGTACAAAAACAATTTTAATGAATAATCTCTCAAGTCCTCATTTTAAAAATTCTATATTATGATTACTGTATTGGTAATATAAACTAATTTTTAAAATCACATGAAAGAGACGAATCAATAATAACGTAAGAGTCCATCCTGTAAGATTTGTTACTGCATTCCCTTAAAATGATCCCTAAATTCCTGCATGATCCCTAAATTCATCACAAAAATTTGATAAATTAAAATTATTAATTGAGTTTCTTTTTCAAAGAATGACTCAATTCCCAAAAAGGTATAAACAATAAATCCTGTGGGTAAGACGAAATGTCAAAAACTTGCATATAATTAGTAGTCAGCCCCTTAATTGGAACTATCAAATTTTAGGAATTTTGCTAGTATTATTAATTTAAATAAAAAGATGTTGGATCAAAAATCCAAGTTTTTCATATTTTTCAAATTTATTTTTAAAAATTTTCATTTGTATTCTTAGAAATAGGATTTTTCTGAACACATGCTAAAATCAGGACAAAAAAGCTAAAAATGAGGTAAGTCAGGAATATCAAGACAAGTACAAACACTGGGTGAACACATTGTTAAAAATTAGTTCTGTGCACATGAATTAGAGGCCTAATATACAGTAAAACTTTTAGTAACCAGACATAATTTTTTCACAGCTTTACCTGTTTTATATTTTAAAAATGCAACAGATAAATGCATACTTTTCAACAAACACGCAAGCATAATATGACTTGAAGCTTGAGATGATAACATTGTTTATCCAAAAGAATTAAGAGAATAAAAAGAGTGTTTTTATAATGAATAATCCTTATGGAAGTCCATAATGTCCCTAATGTATGCTTCTTTCTGTATATTTATTATATTATTCATACTATTATTGCCTTATTGTAACATCGTTTATGTTTAGAAAAACAGCTAAGAAACAAAAACAATTTTCAGAATTTATTAATCTATTATTCGCAGTAGTTAACCAAAGTAGAAAACATTATGGACTTACCTTAAAAAATTTGAATTTGTATGGACTTAATTGTAATAAAATGATAGCTTTAACAGCTGGTTAGGCAAAACAATTACAAGCATTATCAAAATTCGTGTCACAAAAAATAAAGTAAAATAGAGATGAAAGGAAGAAAAAAAAAGATGCCAAATAGAACAACTGCTCAGTAAAGAGTTTGTACTGGTGGTTACAGAAATTAGTTTAGTACAGTAACAGAACTAAAAGAGTCTTTATAATTTTTTACATATTTAGAATGAAATTGTTATAAAGAACACAGTATAGTAAAATCTTAATATATTTTCTTCGGGTTGTGATTTACAAATACAACTTCATCTTTCGCTGTACCGCTAAAGAGTACAATCTCAAACATGAATTGAATTGTTTGAAAATGTTATACTGTTTCCAAACAAAATAGAAGATTAATTGGTGTATTGGTTGATTAGTGGGAAAACAATTAAATATAACTGAGATTTTCCAAAAAAACACCAAAAAATATAAATACACAATGCATAAAGCTGAGTCATCTTAAGCCACAATTTGTTGAATGGGTTAAAAAAAACACAGATATTCGATAGGAGAAAACACAGCTTACTTTTACTATTCCTCTAGCAATAACAAATATAGCAGAATGGTTATCTTGATAATCTTGTATAACATCTCCCTCCTTAAAACCAAGCACAATGTGGTTTTCCTTAAATACAGAATATACAAAATATAATAAATTATACATTTCAAAAATTATACATTAAAATGTCTGACTTTTTAAAAATTCAATTTCTCGGAAACTATTCGTCCGATTTCATCCAAATTTTGTATTTTGCATTATAAAATTGTACTTTTTAAAATGATGTAAAAATTTGTATATCTTACAATTGAAACAATTTTCAACCATAAGCAAATCAAATTATTTATAAATATGAAAATTTATTTTCCGCATAGAATTATCCTTGGATAAACGAATTTTACAACTGAGAGTAAAATTTTTTAAATTCCCTTAAAAAATTCTAGAGATGTGGCGAAATAGGCATAAAGTAAAATAAGGAGGTCAAAACTTTCGACCACTCTCCTGAACAAACTATTGCGACCATATTGCCCAGATTGCAGCAAACCCCCTATATATTGAAAGTCAGAAATTATAACCCCATGATAAAAAGGTATGTTTATTCCCAGAAAGTACTTTTTGTGCCCGATTTCATTACTTAAAATATCCTCCACACCAATTAATTAGCATATTTGAGGTCATGCCTCAAACCATTAAGATCGAGACCTAAGAGAACAAGAAAATCTGATTATTAGATCAAAAGTTATTCAGAGTATTTTGCTTTTTTTTTGCACTGCAAATGCGCAAAGTCTTGTGGTGGGTCGCTGAATAGTAGTATGGGTTGAGAATTTCTCATCCTTTCTCAAAAACAGGGCGAGATTTCAAAAACTTAAGTGAAATTTCTAAAATTTAAAAAAACTCTTGAAAAAATTTTTTTATTAATTATAATACATTTCTAACGTCTTCTATTTTTTAAAGCATTGAATATTTTTGGTGCATCATCATAGAAGATTTTGCCTTTACAAGGTATTTGTCCATCTTACATTAGCACATAAAAAATTTGAACGTCTTACATGAAGAAACCTAACCTACGGTAAACACGTGGTTGCAGAGAAATGTGTTCTGAAAGGGGTTCTGTGGTTGTGTTCTGTTGTTCGAAAAGGTTTTTAACAATACAGGTAAATAGGGAAGCTAGATAACGGGGCAGATGTTGAAAATAATGAAAGATACAGGCAGAAAAGTGAAACGGATTTTATTCTAAATGGCGTAATTCTAAGCTTTGTTCGAAAATGCGAGAAATTCGCGATTTTTGAAATTGATTTATAGAATACGCAAATTTCTAGCGGTAATAATTTTTTAATGCGAGAAAAGAAAAAAATATGCGAGATTCTCGCGCTGTAGTGAAAACACTGGTTCAAGGATCTGGAAAAATCTCCTTCCTCTTCAGATCTATGTCTATATTCTGGAAGTAACCTTTTTAATGAGTAGTGTTGCCATATATATGGAGGGTTCTGAATTAAGTTACACTTTCACTCCAGCAGTAATCTTTTATAAAACGAAATGCTCTCCTTCCTGACTTAATTCACAAGGACTGGTGAACAAACATAGCTTGTCCAAATGTCATTCGAAGCAAAAACATTACAGCTTACAAACGAAAGTTTAATTGCAATTGTAACTCACATTAATAATCTGCAACATTTGAGAATTGCGAATCCAGTCTACTGCTTCCAAAACACTAGGGACATCCTTCACAATTTTCCGAGTTCTTGGAGCAAAGGCTATACTTTTAGTCATTTCAAAATGTATCTAATGAATAAAAGATGATTTTATAATTAAAACTAAACATTATTTTGGAAACAGATGAAGTACATTATACTACACATGACCTCAATTCTTTGTGTGCATAGAAAAAATAATGAAATTAATGTATATAAGTTGAATGAAAATTAGTCAGTACAATTTTATTAGCTTGGTACCAGACAAAAGCAAAATAGTTTTGGCGAAATCTGGGTAGTGGCATGCAAGGAACCAAAGGAAAACGAAGCAAACCAGAATGGTAAAATTTATAGCCACCTTCAGGCCAGCCACACAGTAAAAGTTCATAGTAATAACAACAATTCATAATAGCATAATGTAAAATAATCATTAAAGCAAGCCTGTTGAGAATTGCAATGAAAAGACAAAATAATGAAAAAGGCATGTTTCCTTAGTTTCTTTATGAATAGGCATGATTTTAATAGTGAACTGTCAAAAAGGAAAATAAGAGATCATATTTATCTGGTCAACAAAAAGTCTATTCTTTTGGAGTGTGTTGCAGAATTTTCAAATATTGTAAAAAATGTTTTCTTTTGTCAGGAAGCGAATAAAATTGTCAGACGTTGCTGTTTAAATGGCTTAAAATTGCAAGAAGAAATCAATGATTATCATTTTTAAATTTCGGTATTGATTCAAGAAATAAAGAAAACTGACTTTCATTAAAAGCCTTCTTAATATGATATTGCACACTTGAACAAAACAAAAATGTATTCCACTGAAAAAAAAAAATTTTGTTGATTCATAACTTGTTTTAAACATAAAATTTTTGTACCTTCAAAATTTTTACAATGACTTGAAAATTTTTTGTAATTTTAAAAAAATTATATTTGTAATATCAATTTGAATTGGCCACATTTTGACAGGTATTACTTTTCGCTCCAAAAACGGTTAAAAAAACATAGCATCCAATTACACAATGCATCTGGGATGTCACTATATTTAGATTATACTTATTTCATTAAAAATTAATACAAGAACCCTGCATTGGCACTTTACCAATTGCAGTTGTGGCAATCAAAATCAGATACAAGAATTTCCCCAGAAAAATAAAAACCTACCACAGTCAAATATTCTGGTACAAAGCTAACAGAATCAGTCATTTTATGTGTATTAATGTAAACAGAATAATGAAAAATATTAAAAATTAAACTTTGAACTTTGTGCAACTCTTGAATGCCATGTCCACTGATGTCTGACTTTCCCTTCAAACCATCTAGAACTGCTTTAACTCTGTTCAAACTTCCTCGTGCAGCTCTATTTGTTTTTAACGCAACAGCAATTGTTGGGTGTTTTTCTTCCAAATCCATTAACATTTCTAAAAGCTACAAAAAAAATTACAGTAAGAAACATTTAAACAGTAAGAAACATTTTTTTTAAAAAATTGTTTAAGTTTTTATTTTGCGTACAGATCAATCCTTTGCGTATTTTGATTTTTATATTACTTATTTTTATAAAAAAAATTTATTATTTAAGAAAAATTTTATATAATGTCAAAAAAACACATAATTACAAATATCAAACTTTGGAGAAAAAAATTGCATGCTTTATGAATATCTGAATTATCACATATTAGAGAAAACTATAAACAATTTCTATTTTTATATATTTCCTTTCTAACAGTTTTTATATGTAAATTAGTAGAAGATGCTTAATATACCATGTACAAACATGCATAGGAGCGCTGACTGTTATTATTACAATGAGATAACTTTGAGATCTAATTACTTAATTTTATGTACTACTATGTCTTTAACATTATTAAACTTTCTCTGCACTAAATTCAAAATATTACTTTAAGTTATAAGTATTAGTGAAAGAAAAGTTTCGTATATCACGATATTGATATTGGAGAATTATTGATTTCTTAACTGTACTTTAATAAAAAAGTATTTATGGCACTTTTTTTAAATTTAATCATTAATAATTTTAAAAATACATAAAAAGGAAAAATTTAAGAAACAACAAAACAATATCTCAAACAGCAAGACAAACACACATCAATTCAAACTTCTTATAAATTTTATGAAAATTAGGGGGTCGACTCATACACCAGTAATAAAGTCGAACATTTGTTAATCGTGAAATATCTATGCATTATAAACAATGAGATAGATATTTAAAACTCTGTATCAATTTACTCCCTTCAAAAACTATTTTTTAAAAGCTACATACAATTAATTTTGCATTTTCTCTTATCAAATTCATGTATAAAAATTTTTTTTTAGAAACAATACTTTAAATTACACTCAGAGAAAAGGATCAGTTACGATAATTTATTTAAAAGTATTTATTTAAAAATATAACACTATGAAAACTTCTAAAACATATAAAATAAGTCACATGCAGTAAGATGAACCGAATTAACTGGCTCAGAGCATTTGCAATGGATCTTTATAATTATTATTAATGGGAGCCTCATAGCTTCTTTATTTAAGGCCAAATGTATCATATTCATAGAGTACAATGTGAAATAATTTTAACTTGAAAAATTTGTGTACTTAATTTTTTTTTTTTTACGTTTTTTTTAATTTTAGGTATACAACAACCATACCAGAAATATACTATCTTGTGATCAAAAATAAAAGGTAGATTCATACAGTAGTTTGTTTTGAAAAATTATTAAAAAAATTATTTCATCTCTTCCACTTTCACAATCTTCATAAGGTTTTAAATATTGATTATGTTTTAAAAAAATCAGAATCTATCAGCAGTAATTTGGTTTTTTTACAGCTTAAGAACATAATAGCAAAGAAATTAAAAAGTCATTAAAAGTTAAATTAAAATTAAATCTGCCGAACCATGCGGCAACAGTGCTCCATCATGTTGTAATCCAATATATTCTTCAGCACTGTGCAGTTTAATCAAAGAATTCTCTAATAGGAGCTTGAAAATAAATTATTTGATTTCTATCGATAATTTAGTAGCACAAACTATAATTTTAATTCCTTTGTCATCTATGATGTACCAGAACCTCTTCCAAATTATATTTGCGTGAAGAAAAATCACATATCAACCTTTTAAATAAGTTAATAAATTTATGAAGCCAGGTTTCTTTGTAGAAAACATCAGTTTCTACACATTTCACAAAATGAGATAGATGCACAAAGCAAAAAATTAAAAGAAATACACAACAGATAATTTTATCAAAAGGCTTAAAGCTTAGAGAGTAATTCTTACATTAGACAACAGACAAACTGCTCTATGCTTTTTACCTCTTTGATGTTTTCAATGCATATTTCAGAAGCCTCTTTTGCACAAGGTTTGAAATCAACAATTGTTTCAATATTTTTCAACACATGTTCATTTGCAAAAAGGAAACCTCTACCTAGATCATATGAATAGTAAAGGTGTACAGATGCCAGGTGTCTAATCACAGACAAACATTTTTGTAACAAAACCTATAAGAAGAAAAACAATTGAAAAACACTTAATTGAAATAATTAATATAAAACTTAGCTGAAATGCAACATTTTCCAGTTATCAGAATTTATGGAATTAATCTGCAGCACTATCTACATTAATCCAAATTCGTCTGTGACCTCAACTAAGGCAAAAATTATTATAGTAAAAATCCAGCTTAATCTAACATACATGAAATATAATTTACAAATATAAGGCCCTTATACATAGAAACTTTATGCTGTTTAAATTTAAGCTGATTTTATGCATCGATTTTGATACAATTATGGTAATTAAAATGGAATAAATCTGTTGATAAAAGGGTATGTTTATTCTGAGAAAGTACATTTTTGTGTCTGATTTCATAACTTAAAATATCGTCTGCACTAATTCAGGGTGAGTAGCTAAATTATTCAACAAAAAATAAGCACCTTTTAAGCACTTTTCAATCACTCAAGAAATATTTTTAAGCACTTTAAGAAAATATCACAATTAGGCAGGGTTGGAAAGTTTTTGACAATTGACGGTTTTATCTTGTTTTAACCGTCATGTGTAAAAAGAAAAAAAAACCATTTCGGCATTGTTTTTGACAATTGTCAAAAATCATGAATTATGCAAAACGAATGGCGTTTTAATACGCTACGGACTGACAATATATGAAAATAGACTGGGGTTGAATTAATTGTGAAAACTTTGAATAGAACAATGTGTCTTTTTGCATAATACATAGCGAAAATCAACATGGTCAAGGAAAAATCTCATTTTCAAAAAGAGAAAATTAAGCACTTTTTAAAAACACCCAATGAAAAAAGCACCTTGAAGGGCTTTTAAAAAATGAAAATCAAAAATAAGCACCTTTAAGCACTTTTTAAATACGCTACGCACCCTGTAATTAATTAGCATATTTGAGGTCATCGCTTCGAAACATTAAGTATGGGTCCCAGAATGTAAAGATTCGATCATTAAATCAAAAGTTATTCAATGAAGTCCGTTTTTATTGGCTCACTGTACATAACTAAACAGTCATATTATCCAATATAAATAAGCCACAAAGAAAAGAGGATATAGTACAAGCTATTAAGTTGTTAGCATTATGTTTTTATTCATTTTCAAACATTGATTTTCTAAAAATTGCTATAAATTAAAAAGTAACATTTTGCGCAATTTATAACAAATTATGTAAAATATTTTCTGAAAAACACGATACTTTAATGGTCAAATTTTTTTTTTTATCATTGTGCATTTTTATTTAAATTCAAAAAGTTTCAACATAAAAGTACATTTAGGAAATAAAATTTAAAAAAAAAAAACTTTTATCGGATTCTTTTTTATTGGCATCAAATTATTAAAAAAACTTATACTTTACCCTTGACACATAGCATATCCGTAGTCTCAAAATTATGACGATCCTAACATGATTGTAAATACTGTGTTTATTAGGATAATAAGTCATAATAAAAAAATCAGTAAAGCCATCAAGTACAGCAATGCAAGAAATCAGCAGATCAAATATATTCCTTTTATACTTAAAAAAACAGCCCCAGTTCAAAGCCAAAATCTGTAAGAAATTAAAATAGAAGTAAAAATAATAATTTAAAAAAAGTATTACACACTGCTTACAAGTTAGGGTTTATTAATTTAGTTTCCAATCTGATAAAATATATGAAGAAAGTAAAAACTTCCTCCTCTGAGTAGCTTTATTACTCCCTAATTTAAAAAAATTCTTATAGTAATCCTCAAAATTGCTTATGAAGATCTTCCAAAACTCAATTATGTATGCTGTGATATACTCTGTTGTTGTTCTGGACGCCACTTGCTAATTGCCAGCAAGTTAGCTTCAAACCAAGCAAATTTAAGGCAGAGAGGGTGAGTTTCTTGCTTTTCAATGGTGCCATCCATGATCAAGAATACGATTTTCACAACATACACATGCCATAGCCAATAATTTTGACCTGGACCAGAAAATGATCACTCTCCAATTCAGTACCCATAGAAGTATTGATTTGTTATGGGAATTCAGTAAATATTAGTATGGGAATTCAGTAACAGGGTTCCCACTCTTTTAACAAAGAAAAAATTAAGAACTTTTAAGGACTTTTGTTTGAAAAAATTAAGGACTTTAAAAATTGTATGATTGTTTATCATTGAATAGACATATACCATCAGTTACAGAGCCAATTACTATTCATCTTTCTTAAAAAATAAAATCAATCAATCAATAAAAAAATAATAAACAATTTTATTATAATGTAAGTACTGATATAATTGTATTAACAGGGTTCGCCAAAGTAGGACCAGGCAACTTTTGCAAACCTGGGCTGGTTTTTTAAAAAATATTTTCAGATTGTTAGGGGTTAATGATATCTATAAAATTAATCCGTACTCCATTTTTAATGATTTCATTGAAATTGAATAGTAAAATTAAAGTGCAGAAATTAAGATTCACAATTTTTTTCATAGATTAAAAAAAGAGTAAATAAAGAAATTTCAAAAAAACAATGAAAAATTCTTAGAACAAGTTTTAATATTTCACTGCTAGACATGCATCACATATTCAGTTGTGGGCCAAAATTTAATTCTAAAAAGTTCAATTAGAGTTACGCATGAGAATAGTTTTCTTAACTATGTCATGTTAAATTAAGTTCTAAGTAAATACAGGCCTCACTAGTATCTAAGGACCTTAAATCATTCCACTTTTTTTTCATTAGGCTTAATTTTTAAAAAATTTTAAATTCATTGCAATAAATATTTTTTTGAAAATGTTTATAGAATAAAAATACAATTATGCTTGAGAAGATTTAAAATTTTCAAACCAATATGTCTTTTATATTAGCTCTTGGTGAAATATATAAATAAAAGGGTCAAAAACAATTTTTCAAATTTATCAACACATTCCTATGGCCAGAAAATTGGTAAGGTTTCTAATTAACAAATACTGATAAATTATTTATTTTTTAATCATTTACAGATATTAACTTTTAATATTTCTTTATCATCCTCTATCATTCGTAATATTATTCTCTACTATTATTATGATTTGTTATTTTATTTTTATTGCAAAATTAACAGTTTAAAACTGAAAAAGGTATTTTTTTATTATAAAGTAATTCAGTATTATCACTTTTTCAGGTAATGTTTTGTAAAAAATATTGAAAAATTTTAGAAAAAAACATATTGAAAAAAAAAAAGGTACTTAACAATTTTGAAATTAGTACAAAACAGCAAATGTTTTATATTTACTTTTATGATGAGCTTTACATAAAATCATTTCCAGTCAAAAATGTTATTAGGAATTAACTTTACATAATATTACTAAAAAATATGGTGAGAAACATGAACTAATTTTAAAGCAACCAAAAATTGAATAGATTTTTTTTTAAAAAAGTATATTAATTTGCAATGCTAACTGAACAAAATGACTACTAAAATCTAGTTACTAAACATTTAACTTTCTTGTTAGAATCATCTTGCTTCCAGCATTTTTATTCAGAACTCAGGAATAAAAATTTAAAGTATTTTTGAAAAATGAAAGGAAGATATGTTCTAATGAAAGGAAGATATGTATCCTTTTAAAATAAAATATTAGCAAAAAATTGCCTTAAAACTATTTTGTGTACTAGCAGGGGTCTGTCCAGACATTTTGTAAAAGGTCTGGTTTTTGCAAAATTGTGAAAAAATTACTCGTGCTTTGTGAATATAAAATAAACGTTAAGTCACATTCTTTCAATCAGGGTCCTGCTTTTATGAACTTGTGCAAATTGGGTCCGGTTGTTGCAAAAAACTTTTTCAAGGAGTTTTTAAATTGTAAATAGATACAAGATTAAACACTTGTAAAATTATAATAAAACACACAGATAATATACACACTGTAAAATTATAATAAAAAAATAAAATTTTCAAAAATAAACAGCAATTGCTGCTTCTAAATTAGAGATGCAACATACAAATATTTGGTATTTAGCCTATACTGCTGAACGCAGAATCTTCATTTTGGACGAATAATGGAAGAAGCGTCTGCCGAAGACTAAATTTAGTTCGTTTACATCTGTCTTTCTTCCCCTCTCCCTTCCTGGGAAGGGTTTATTTGATTAACAAAACAATAATGAAGATAAACCAATTTGAGAAGGATCCGATTAAAAGATAAATTATTTTGTGAAGGGTCCGTTTTTAAGTTAAAATATTTTGTGAAGGGTCCGTTTTTATGAAAAGATATTTTGTGAAGGGTCCGCTAACAAACCCAAATTTCTTCTAAACAGACCCCTGACTAGATAGTTAAAACATAAGAAGTTCTAATTAGTTTGAAGTCATAAATTACCATTATAAAGGTTTCAAACACATAAAAGAGAGCAAAGAGAAAAGTAAATATCCTGATTTGAGTTTGATACTTGTCACATATATTTTTCAATATATAAAAATATAAGCAGAGGAAGTGAGCTGTAAGTTGTAGGAGATTTAAGAATATTATGATATTGGTAAGAGGTTCGAACCACCACTTAAAATAAAGCCAGACAGAAATACGACGAAGTCTATTATGACTTTCAGAGCGTTGAAGTTGCTTTATTGAACGTAAAGGCAAGTTACGTAACTCCAACAACTCTATCCATTCAGAAGTTTTCATTGCCTGTAAAAGTAAGAAGTTTTGAATAAATAATCTATTTTGAAGTTGTTCTCATACTAATATGAACCTAGATTATAAAGCAGTAGGTGTTTCCAAAATGTCAGAAAATTTGAAAACTCAATTTTAAAAAATGTATAGTTTGCTACATTCTGCTGAGGAAACTAAAAATATTTTGTAATCATCAGATTATGAAATTAGTTACAACTTATGTCAACAAATAATGCTTTTAACTAAAAAAAACTTGAAAAAGAATAATGTCATTGCGTATGGTTCAAGTGATCTTCCTCTTCACGTAATACAAATGTGGGTTAGTTCCCTAAAAAAGTCCTCCATGAAGGCAAATTTCTCCCAATACTTGATCCAGGAGTTCCCTTGTCTTCTGGATTGGGTTCAAAATTACAGGGCTACAGAGTTGAACATTAGTAGTCGTAAACCAAAAAATTGGGTCAGATTTTCAACGACAGTTACAGAAATTTTTTTCAAAAAATAAATAAAAAAAGAAAAGTACCTATCTGGGAACACTATTAAGTTCAGTATAATGTATAAACGTTTGATGATGAATCAGTTTGATGTATAAAATGTCATTTTTGTGTGGTTTATCACTTTATAGCTCCAAGCTTATCAATTAGAGAAAAAAAAATTTGTGCATCATGGTAAAGATCAAATAATTCTGCAAAAGATTTTATCAATTTCAGTAAATAATTAAATCATTCGGTAATACAGTTAGGAAGTCAAAATTAATAAATAATCATGTATTTAAAATATATGCAATGTGTGCTTTATTGTGCATAATGTAAATCTTTTAACATAAAATTAGTTAGCACAGCTTAATGCGCAAAATGCTCAGGTACAGAACAAATTAAACAAAAGTAAACACAATAATTGAAAAAAACAAAATCCAAACTAAGAAAATATTTTGTTTTTTATACTTACCAAACTGGAAACAAGGCTTTTAATCTTCACTAACTTTATAATATCTTTTGTTCTAAGATACCTAAATAAGCTTGGTATTACTTCCAATAAATTTTAATACATAAAATTAGCAAATTATTATGGTAAAATATTTATGCTCAAATTATTGATTAAAATTTAAACAAAAGCAATTAACAATACTAATTGTTTTGATTTTCGTACTCATCTTGGAAGGTATTGTTGCCATAAGTTACCTTGCAAATTTTTATGGCATTAATCAAGATTCTTACTAGGATGTCCTTTTGTGATTATTTAACTTTAAATAACATGAACATAAATAAAAGAACATAGAATTAAAGGTGAAACAAATTAAAGATAGTAAGTAATGTGAAGAAATTCTTTACATTAAAAGGAGGGATTTCATATTGACTACCCTTAATCTATATTTTTAAAATTCTTGCCAAAAATACACACATTATTGTAAGTATTTGAATTAATAAGAAAAAAAACTTGACGATTTAATATATAAAATTAGCCGTTTATTATGGTAAAATATTTATGCTCAAACTATTGAACAAAATTTAAACAAAAGCAATTAACATTATTACTGTTGATTTTGATTTTCATACTCATCTTGGAAGGTAATGTTGCCATAAGTTACCCTGCAAATTTTTATGGCATTAATCAAAATTCTTAATGGGATGTCCTTTTGTGATAATTTAACTTTAAATAACATAAACAAACATAAATAAAAGAACATAGAATTAAAGGTGAAACAAATTAAAGATAGTAAGTAATGTGAAGAAATTCTATACATTAAAAGGGGTTTTCATATTGACTATCCTTAATCTATATTTTTAGAATTCTTGCCAAAAATGAAGCAAAAATTACACACATTATGAGTTTCTAAGTATTATTTCAGCTAATTAAAAAACAAAAACTATGATAAAACCAAACAAATCAAAACAGAGGAAGGCCAATTTGAAAACATTGAAATCTATTTCTTCACCAAAGAAAACAGAGAAGAGTGAAAGATGATTAGTAAAAATCAAACTGGATTTAGTGTTTTAAGTCATGTATACCTCAATAGTGATTGAACCGATTTTGATAGTGTTTTTGTTTGCCTCTTGTATAAATATAATTTCTGCTACCTCTAAGGTGTGCACTTTTTTGTATCTTTGCTTTTGTCAAGAAATCTAAAGAAAATTCGATTGAGAACAATGATTAAACAGCATCCTGATAGTAAATACAATTAAAAGAAAAGATATTAATAATGTTAACAAACAAATTTTTATTAGTGAATATTTTTTTAATGAGATAAATAGGTTCAAAAAATATAATGTAAAAATATTTATTCATTCCATCCTACTAATTTTGTTAATTTAAGAAAAAAATGATTTCCTAAAAAATGAGATAGAAACCAGAACTCAATCAGTACTTCATTCCAATCCATATATTTGTGCCATCTTTATTTGCTTTTGTATAATTTCTACATATTTTTGAAAAACTAAATAATTGATAAAAGTCTTCAAAATCAGAACTTCAAAGAAGTATATAAAAAAGTTGTACATATAAAAATTGTATATATAAATATTTTTCTTTTGAAAGTTAGAAAACTTTTAAAAGAAATTTGAAATTTCTTTCATGTAAAATGAGAAGAAAAAAATTTTTTGGTACGAATTGCAATGTAGTGGTTCAAAATAAGAATAGTGGTTCAAAAGTAATCAGGGAGGTAAAGTAATCTTTGTAATGGTTCAAAAGTAATCTTTGTAGTGGTTCAAAATAAGAATCAGGGAGGAATTTTATAAAGAAATCAGGACAAAATTAAGTCATTTTCGATACAATACACAGCTATTAGACTACCACTTCTTAGTAGGGAAAATTTATGTATGACATATTTCTTTAATTGTGCAAACTTTAAAAAAATAATAATATATAAAATAATTAAAAATAGGTGGACAACATTCAATACTTACTAATTAAAAATTAAAATAGAAACAAGTTGATCTGAAATGACTTCAAAAAATAGCGCAATTTCCCACATCTATACATACAGTGAGAAGTTTTGGAAATTTATTCCTCTGTATAAAAAAAAGTTATTGTCCCCGAATTTAATGACTATTTTTACGATTTATTAAAATAAAATATTAATAATAATACTTAAAAGGATTCACTACGATTTAAAAATAGAGGGCAATGTGAAATTATTGCTTCATCTTTTTAGATTCTGAAAACTTTTATTGAAAACTAAGAATTTTTATTTTCAATTAAAATCAAGCAAAATTAAAAGCATTGAGGAAAGAAAGCTTTGTTTATATGACAGAAATTATTCACTTAGTAAGCCCCCCCCCCTGGAAGAGTAGCCCAGCTGCGTCTTCTCTAAGAAAAGATAGGAAAAATCTGAGATGAACTTAAAAGTTTCTCGTCAAAAAGTGCCTGTAATAGAATCCAAAATTATACACTATATTCAGTTTTTTAAATAACTTTAGTAGTCCCAGATCATTTTATTAAATATTAGTTAATTTACAGCAGACAATAAACTTACACAACAATTAACAAAATTTCATTATTTTCTAGAATAGGAGTTGCACCAAGATCAATGCTGCAGTTTACACCAGATATATTTAAAAGTTCAGCAAGTGCACATTCAGATTCTTTTATATGTACAAAAAAAAATTGTAATTTAGAAGAAACATTTTATTTCTTTAAAAAATTTGCTCCTCTTCAGTAGCCTATGCATAAAAGACATCTGATGTTCATATGACTGGCTTATGATGAAAGGAAGTGTAAAATGGCAAAAATAGAAAATGATTCTTTTAGACGGCTCAGCTTATTAAGGCAATTTTGTTTCAATACTGATTTAGCAATAATTTGTTCTAAGAAAAATAAACGCTTGGTTTTCTATGCTAACTCTGTTATATTTCATAAACATTTCAGGATTCACTTTTTCAATAAAAACATACTGGTTTTCTTACTATTGAAAAAAATTTTTAAACAAAAATTCTAAATAAGTATTTTGCTAGTTGAAATGGTATATTTTGAAAAAAAATCAGGAATATCAGAACAACTACAAATGCTGCATTGTGCTAAATTTACACCTTTTCATTTTAATTTAGTTTCTCCTGTCCTTAATAGTTAATATAACTTTTTGTTTGCCCTTAACTCAGTTTAAACTATTTTTCACTCCAATTGCATTTAAACCCTTAATTTATAGACTGATTTTTAATTATTGATAATAGATTTGGAAATTAGGTTTTTAAATATATTTTCAAATACGTTTAGTATATATTGGTTTATACCCAAGTAAATTTTTTTTAACTGAAACAATCAAATTTAAAAGTAATTTTATTTTATTTTATAACCGTCGTTGAACAGCCGACCCAATTTTACGGATTTACGACTACTAATGTTCAACTCCGTAGCCTTGTAATTTTGAACCCAATCCAGGAGACAAGGAAACTCTATGATCGAGTATTGGGAGAAATTTGCCTTCGTGGAGGACTTTTGTGATGGAGCTAACCCGAATTTGCGTTACATGGAGAGGAAGACCACGAGAACCTCCCACAGTTAACCTGACGGCAAGGGAACTCTAACCCATGATCCCTCTACCACTGAGGATATTTCACGTCAGCACTGTGGTCGGTGAAAGCTGGATGCAGAATTCTTATCGACTGGGATTCGAATCCGGCTCGCTGCATTGGAAGGCGAATGCTCTATTCCCTGAGCCATCGTAGCTCAAATTTAAAATTATAAACAAAATAACGCAAACATTTTCTTTCCATATTCTCGGCACAAATCTGGGATAAACTTGTCATGTCTGGTCTTAAATTTTCTATAGCCGAAAGCTCACCTTTATCACTTGTAAAGAAATATATGAAGTCACATCAAAATGACCTTTCTGATAAAAAGTAATCTTAAATAGTAAAGTGATGAAATAAAATATATATGTACTTAAAAACCAATCCATTGTTTATGTATTGAAATGCAATTGTGGTGAAAAACTACTTTACCAGAATATACAAAGTTAAGAACAAACTACAAATTAGATCAACAATTATGCACTAAAAATGAAAACCATCAAATGTAGAACGCTGTAACAAATGTGAAACATTTGCGAACAAGAAACAAGTGTGATTAAATTTCCTGCGATACAACTGCATCACAGGAATTTTAATTTAAGAGCAAACAATGAAAACCTACAAGTAAGGAGTATCAGAAGTGCTATCAATTGCAGTACAAAGAAGTTTCAGAGTTCTTCGCTGAATGAGACCTTTTCGAAATTGCTTTAGTAAATTACCCTAAACAAGTAAAAATGAGCAGATATCAATTAACAGGTATACTTCAGAATAATTTCACAAATCATAAATACATAAAACAAAAATGTCATTATACATTTTGCTGAAGGATCTTCAAACTTATGTAAGTCAAACTAATTGAATTGTAATAGGAAAAAATGAAAGTTAATATTTTTGAACCTACAGGCAATAAACAGGCTTTCACATGTTTAGTAGTTTTCAAAACAAAAAAGAAAGAAAAAAAATTGTTTAATTAGTTGTAAGCAAACCAAGATTTTTGCAATTATTTATAAAAATTAACTAATATAGTTTAATTTGATATCATAGCATTCTTGTCTAAAAGAAGTGAGAATTTTACACAAAAACATAATTATCTCGATTTTACGAACATTCGGTTTAACAACATTGCCATATTAAGCTAGTGCAAAGAATTCGTGAATTTTTTAAAAAAATCAAATCTGATTCAACTTTAAATAGTTAACAGAAAATATTAATGCAATGAAAAAAATTTCAAGATAACAAAAATCTAATTTATTTTTTGGAAAATCATTTATCTTTTGGAGATACTTACTTCCTGATTTATCAAAATTTTATGCTCCTTTCACATTTTTTTTCTATTTTCAACTATAACATGTTAATTAGCAAGCAAGCAAATTAAACATATATGCCTTTTAACAAACCAGAGACAAAAAATCTGTCATAATAAAGTAAATCATTAATAGTCAACCTTTATAATAACAAGACGGAAAAAAAATTTAGTAACATTTTTAGTTATTTCAAGATCATTGTAACAAAAATGGGTTAGTATTATTTTACAAGTAATGAAAATTAGTGCCAAATAAGCATTCATAAAATACAATTTCAAAAACAGCAAAACTAACTACAATTAAAATCATCGCATTTTCATTGCAGCAGCCGCACTTTAAAATTAGCAGTTATGACAAAAGATTGGCAAAATTTGAAAAATTACCTTCAAAGCTCTCAACACTCTACAGCAAGAGGCAACTTTTAATTGTATTAATTCATTTTCATTCGGCTCATAAGGTAATGTTTGATCAACACATTCATGGCAGGTTCCATAGGGAAGAAAGAGGCTGCTCATACAGCTTTCATCACCCTGTGAAAATTTACACACTCTAAAATTAGAGAGACAGTAAACAGTGATGTGTATTAATAAAACAAAATCTTACGTAAATATATTTACGTACATATTAATATATATACGAATATACGAAATATATTACGCAAATTAATGAAAAATAGTTTACATTAATAAGCCCAAAGAGGTAAAGAAAAAGAGATCTAAAAAATTAATAAAAACATACTTCTTTTATAATGGAGCATAAATTAAAGTATAATCAATCAAAATAATTTATACCCCATTCCAGGGCTCAAAAAACCGCCCGTCTGCCCGTCCTCAGCAGTCAAAAATTCCCAGCGGACAAAGAAATTTCTCGAATTCGACGTCCGTGTGGACGGCCATTTTCCCGCTAATGTTCGTAATACATTTTCAATTTTTGTTATCTTACAAGAGTCTAGCTCCTTACTTCTAAAATGAACCTCTAATCTAGAAATTCAGCAACATACTGCATGTGGTGGAATTGATGTGTTCTCTGTCTGGGAGTACTGCAGTGGTTGAAAGGGGCTTTTCAGCAATGAACTTACAAAAAAACACATTACTTACTGGTCCTAAACAAGAAGCGTTTAACGCAATTGTGAACATCTACCTAAATGGAAAACCCCTTTCAGATATCTGTGCAGAAACCTCTGTAAATCATTCAGTTGATCGTGGAACTGGCAAATTTCATATTTGATTCATTTAAAAAACGCAGTACCCCCGGATAAATTGTCATTCCAGATAATTTGACCTTCGTCATTTACATTATTTCATAAAAGAAATAAATTATTTAATAAAAGAAATAATAGGTTACTATTAGTAACCTAGTATTTCTTTTATTATTGTATAATGTAATCCTAGTATTTGTAATCATAGTAACTACTACTTCATTGTGCAATTTATATAAATGTTTCTAATAAATAAGAGAAAATTATATTTTTATTTATTTAGAAGCTACGGGTTAGTCTCAAAAGACGGGTACATTGTTGGACAAGCCGTCCTTAGGGACGGGTAAAATTTCTGAGTTTTTTCGAGCCCTGCCCCATTCCTTTTTAAAAGAAATAAAGCTTTTCATTTTGAATAATGAAGTGTTTTGTAAAGTTGTCAATTTCTTACCATTTTTAAAAAATGTAACGAAAAATAATAATTTTTGATAAATTCAGAGAACAGTTGTTAAGAGAAAATTAGAACAGGTTCAAAAGAAAATTGTGAATAAATTTTTCCATATTTGTATAAGTAAATGATTCAAACAAAGTATCTTCCCCTAATGAAAAAAGTTGGCTTAGTTTATTATGGTGTTCATGAATGCCATAAATCAAAACTCAAATATTTATTTATAAAATACATTTAATTAGAAACCATATTTACCTTATGAATAGATGAAATGTAAGGGGAAAACAGTAAGATATAATATCGGTAATAATTTAATAGGGTTATAAACATTGTTTTAAATTAAAAGAGTGTAATTAAGTTAAAATGCAATTTTAGAAAGAGTTGTGCACTAGCTATTAAATAATAGATTTTTTTAATTCATGTATTTTATTTGAATAATGAAGGCCGGGATGGTAGAGCGTTCAGCCTATGTCCAAGATCATGAGTTCGATCCTGTCGGCTGAAAACTTTCTGTGTACAAAATGGTTACTGAAGCATGCTAAATCTGTCAGGGTCATAAGTCCTCCAAGTTCTCATAACAAATCAATACCTCTGGGGGCACTGGATCGGATACAGACCATGCTCTGGTTCAGGTCAAAATTATGATCTGCGGATGGGTGAATGGTGTGTGAATGTGTCCTTCATGTAAAATGGGCTGGGACATATGTGTGTGGTAGAAATCGAATTTGTGGCCATAGATGGCACCACTGAAAAAAAGAAGCGAACCCCTCTGCCTTAAAAATAGGCTTGTTAGTATTTGACAAATGGCATAAGACAACAACATTTGAATAATGAAGGCAATAGTGTTGGTTATTTGGAGCTAAGAAAACATCTTGGAAAAATTCAACTCTTAAAGTTTATTCTCTTATATTGGTGGGCAAAACAGATTTAAAAGATTGGTGACTTACTTAAATATTTTTAAAAAGTATCATTAAAGGAAAAAATAAAACTTTTGTGTACTTACATACAAACCACCTTTATAAGGATCATGCATACAAGTTTTTTGCAACAGCCAATTCCAATCAGCTCTACCATATTTCCAATCCCGCTTGCAGCCTCTAATAGATTTATCTCTTATATCAGTAGCACTTATTAATGCATTACCCATTGACAATCGATCCACAAATGTCAGTTGTTTGAATCCTAACATAGAAAAAAAAAGCTTAACTATTAATTTAACTTAACAATCGTTTATTTACATACATAAGAATTTTGTTTTCCATATTTTAATTATAGAAGTATTTAGTTTTACTTTTACGTAAAATGATGCAATTATTCTAAAGATATTGTTTCTAGAAACTATACATTTTAAGTGAAATTTTTCAGCCTACAAAATTTTCCTCTTTAGCTACAATACATCTTTTCACATTTTTACTATATAAGTAACAATGTATTTTAATTTTTAAATTTGAAATGCATTAGGGAGATGTTAAATACTTCTATCACTAAAGGTAGAAATTTTATTTTATTTTAAAACCAGCTTTAACAACCGAGTCAATTCTGAGTTTACCACTATCAATAACAAGCTTAAACCCTTCCCGCCCCCGTAAGGGGGCATCCGGGGGATTTTACCACTATCAATGCTCAACTCTGTAGCCTTGTAATTTTGAGCCCAACCCAGAAGACAAGAGAGCTCCTGGATCAAGCATTGGGACAAACTAGCTTTGGTAGAGAACTTTTGGATGGAACTTGTAATTTCTCAGTTACATCCATAATGGTGATATCAGGCCCTTGAATTGTAAGACTTACATCGTTTATGTGGTTAAAAATATCTGAAAGGTAAGCCAATTTATATGTAAAATCTTTTTTTGTTTTTTAAGTTTTCGAAGATTGGGTTATCTTTTTCTTCTAGAAAAAGTGATACATCTGTAAAGCTGAAAAGATCAATGTTATTTAAATATTATTGATCCAAACCTTTTAAAAATTAGGAGTAGTCGGCGGACCCCCAAAATATGACCCATGAACCCCAAAGAGGTCCATGAACCACAGATTAAGAAACCCTGGTTTAGAAAGAAATTGCTGCAAATCGAGAATGTCAAAAAAAGAGGATTAATCAAGCGCAAGATTTATTGTATATATTGCAAAAAAGTATATATTCATTTATATATTGCAAAAAAAAATTTAGATTTTAAAAACTAACTGGTGTTTAAAATATTTTAAGAATGAGAAATATTTTAGAAAATACTCTTACAAATATCTTAAGTTTAATAATAATTTTAGATAATATGCCTACTTAAAAGTTTCATCATAAGTTTAACTGTGTTTGCATTAACAAGAAGAGTTAAAACAATAACTCCAGAAACTTGCACTAAAATCTGAAAGAAAGTGTAATCAAAGAATGTTATAAAACAAAAGAAAATTGAAGAAAATATATAAACATAAAAAAAAAACATTTTTATTTTAATCACAAGAACTTTAAGCAAAATGAAAATTTTTTGCACAAAATTATAAAATTTGTTTATTTAAAGATAATTCCATGCAAAACATAACTTTTAGTAAATATTTAAAACTTTTCATTATTTTATTTAATAATAGTCAAAAAAAATTATGGAATGTAAGAAATACAATTTATTACATCATTTTAAAGCATTTAATTTTACAAGGCAAAATCGAAAATTTGAGCGAAATTGGATGAATAGTTCCTGAAAAATCGAATTTTAAGAAAGTCGTATATTTAAAATTTTATTTCTCAGAAACTATTCAACCGATTTCGCTCAAAGTTTGCATTCTACCAAATAAAATTAAAAATTACCTAAATAAGTGTATTAACATTTTTTTTAAATAATCATTTATTTACCTTTTAGAATAAAGTTTTAATAACAAAATTAAAAAAGAGTTGTATAGAAATATTTTGTAAAATATTGAAGACTCTATGTTGCAATCTAAAGCCAAAAAGTTAAAATGTATCATTCAGCCTTTCCACTTTAGGGTATTTACTGTTTAATAAAAAGGTCACAAAGATTTTAATGTTACCTTGCTAGCATTCTCAGATTCGGGAAATTCAGGATCAAAAGCAACCAATAAAGCTAATGTTAGGCAAAAACCACTACGCAGTCCACTCCAAGCAAGAATAATACTTTCTTGGTATGTCAAGCTATATCCTGTCCAATACAAAATTGGATAAAAAATAATAACCATGAGAAACCTGAAATATTGCCCAAAATTAAAATCTGGGAAAAATATATCTTCTTTTGCTAAACAGTTTCTTAATCAGAGTGGGTAGCAAAATTATTCAACAAAAAATAAGCACCTTTTAAGCACTCAAAAAATATTTTTAAGCACTTTTGGAAAGTTTTTGACAATTGACGGTTTTATCTTGTTTTAACCATCATGTCAAAAAAATATACCTTTCGGCATTGTTTTTGACAATTGTCAAAAATCATGAAATTTTGAATCATGTAAAACGAATGGCATTTTCATACGCTATGGACTGACAATATGCCGAAATAGAATAGGGTTGAATTAATTATGAAAACGTTAAATAGAACAAAGTGAACTGAGTCTTTTTGCATGATTCAAAGCAAAAATCAACATAGTAAAAGAAAAATCTCATTTTAAAATAGGGAAAATTAAGCATTTTTTAAAAACACCCAATGAAAAAAGCAACTTTAAGGGCTTTTAAAAAACGAAAATCGAAGATAAGCACCTTTAAGCACGTTTTAAAAACGCTACGCACCCTGCTAATATAGTAGAACCTTACATTTTATATGGCATCTTTAATTGTGAATGATTGACAAGGGAAAATAACAAATGCGACTAAACATAAAACATCAAATATTGACTTGAATGAAGAGTAATGGACTCGATAATTATTTAATTAACAATAAGTGTAAAAAAATTTTATTAAAGCAAAAGGTTAAAACATTATGTTATTAAAATATCTCTATAGAATGAATAAAAATTATTTCTCTCATAAACAAGACTTTGGGACATTGACAAAGAGATATAGTCAGAGTGTGCTTGATTTCTTTTCATTTCAGAACACAGTTTACAATAAGTTAAAAATGATAAAAGATAAACAGAATTAACTAACCTTATGATGTTTATCCCAAAATATGTAATCAAAATAAATATTGTATCCCAGAGGTCATGATATTCTGCTACATAAACACTAATTATTACTCCAGCAAAGACAAAAATCAAAGTATTGGCAAAAATATTCAATATTTTCCAGTAACTAAAACATAAGGAAAAAAAAGAAGAAATATAAAAAAATCATATATTAAGCAAAATATGTATAAGGAAATGAACAAATGAAACATAAACAACTGTTTAGTACATTAGATCGCCAATGAAAACATTTGACTGTGCAGTATATATAGCAGAGCAAGCTTGTATAATATAAAACTTAATGTACAGTGCACAAGAAAAAAAAGACCACCCGAATAACTTTCGATCTAATGATCGGATTTTCACGTTCTATGACTCAAACTTAACGGTTCAAAAGGGTGACCTTAAATATGCTAGCTACTTAGTGCGGACGATATTTTAAGATATGAAATCAGACACAAAAATGTACTTTCTTTGAATAAACATACTTTTTTTGTTGATGGATTCTGATTGCTGTCCCTCAAAATAGAAGGGGTAGCTGAAATCTAGAAAATATGGTTCCAATAGTTTGGTCAGGAGTACAGTCCAAAATTCAAACTCCTTGAAGCTATTTTTAAGTTATCCTTAAGTAATTTTTACGTTTTACCTATTTTCCCATATCTCAAAAGCTTTTTAAGCGAATCGAAAAATTTTTGCACACAACTATAAAATTTGTTTAAATAAATATAATAATAACTTTGAATAACTTTAAGTAAATATTTAGTATTTTTTACCATTTTATTCGATAATAATTGAAAAAAGTTTGAACTATAAGGAGTAAATTTTTTTNATTAACATTTTTTTTAAATAATCATTTATTTACCTTTTAGAATAAAGTTTTAATAACAAAATTAAAAAAGAGTTGTATAGAAATATTTTGTAAAATATTGAAGACTCTATGTTGCAATCTAAAGCCAAAAAGTTAAAATGTATCATTCAGCCTTTCCACTTTAGGGTATTTACTGTTTAATAAAAAGGTCACAAAGATTTTAATGTTACCTTGCTAGCATTCTCAGATTCGGGAAATTCAGGATCAAAAGCAACCAATAAAGCTAATGTTAGGCAAAAACCACTACGCAGTCCACTCCAAGCAAGAATAATACTTTCTTGGTATGTCAAGCTATATCCTGTCCAATACAAAATTGGATAAAAAATAATAACCATGAGAAACCTGAAATATTGCCCAAAATTAAAATCTGAGAAAAATATATCTTCTTTTGCTAAACAGTTTCTTAACCAGAGTGGGTAGCGAAATTATTCAACAAAAAATAAGCACCTTTTAAGCACTCAAAAAATATTTTTAAGCACTTTTGGAAAGTTTTTGACAATTGACGGTTTTATCTTGTTTTAACCATCATGTCCAAAAAATATACCTTTTGGCATTGTTTTTGACAATTGTCAAAAATCATGAAATTTTGAATCATGTAAAAAGAATGGCGTTTTTATACGCTATAGACTGACAATACGCCGAAATAGATTGGGGTTGAATTAATTATGAAAACGTTTAGCAGAACAAAGTGAACTGAGTCTTTTTGCCTAATTCGAAGCAAAAAATCAGCATAGTAAAAGAAAAATCTCATTCTGAAAAAGGGAAAATTAAGCACTTTTTAAAAACACCCAATGAAAAGAGCACCTTTAAGGGCTTTTAAAAAACGAAAATCGAAGATAAGCAGTATTAAGCACTTTTAAAAAAGCTATGCACTCTGTAGAATGATAAGGAGTTATAAAATGATTTCGTAAAGAAATGATTTTATATTTATGCAACTATTTAATCAAAATGATTAATAACTATTAAATTAAATAATTTTGTGATTAATTTGCGATTAATTTCCTTAATTTGATTCATGATTTTGAAACAGATGAAATTTATCGAACTTAGAAACATCACATTAATGATAGTATTTAGTGAAAGTTAAACCTTTTGAATACTGCACTTAGCATGCCTGTTATTCTGGTCCATTTGATGTACCACCTCTAAACAAAAGATTAAAACATTATGTTATTAAAATATCTCTATAGAATGAATAAAAATTATATCTCTCATAAACAAGACTTTGGGACATTGACAAAGAGATATAGTCAGAGTGTGCTTGATTTCTTTTCATTTCAGAACACAGTTTACAATAAGTTAAAAATGATAAATAGAATATAAAAGATAAGGGGCCGTTCAAAAAGTATGTACACAAAAATGGAGAAATTTTAACCCCCTTCCCCCCCCCCCTTCGTACATACATTTTATTAGTCTACCCCCCCTTTTTTCATAAAAATTAAAATAATTATGTTTTAAGTAAAATTAAATATTTATTTAAAATAATTTATTCATTTAAATTATTTGTGTAGGAAAAAGTCAAATTTACATTTGGTGTATGCTTATAATGTACGTACTTTGCATAATACCTCTCCCCCTCCCCATCGTACAAAACCATACAAAATAGCAAATCCCCTCCCCCCTTCGGGATGTACGTACTTTTTGAACGGCTCCTAAATAGAATTAACTAACCTTATTATGTTTATCCCAAAATATGTAATCAAAATAAATATTGTATCCCAGAGGTCATGATATTCTGCTACATAAACACTAATTATTACTCCAGCAAAGACAAAAATCAAAGTATTGGCAAAAATATTCAATATTTTCCAGTAACTAAAATATAAGAAGAAAGAAAAAGAAATTTAAAAAAATCATGCATTAAGCAAACTATGTATAAGGAAAAGAACAAATGAAACATAAACAAATTTTTTAGTATATTTTGATATTTTATAATGGATTAAATACATTCTTAACCAACCACTATAAGTTTAGACTTGTACTATAGCGCATATAATATATTGTGTCAAATGTGAAGATTGCCAATGAAAACATTTGACTGTGCAGTATATATAGCAGAGTAAACTTGTATAATATAAAACTTAAAGTACAGTGCACAAGAAAAAACAGACCACCCGAATAACTTTTGATGTAATGATCAGATTTTCATGTTCTATGACTCAAACTTAACGGTTCGAAAGGGTGACCTTAAATATGCTAGTTAATTAGTGCGGACGATATTTTAAGATATGAAATCAGACACAAAATGTACTTTCCTTGAATAAACATACTTTTTTTGTTGATGGATTCTGATTGCTGTCCCTCAAAATAGGAGGGGTAGCTGAAATCTAGAAAATATGGCTCCAATAGTTTGGTCAGGAGAACAGTCCAAAATTTAGACTTCTTGAAGTTATTTTTAAGTTATCCTTAAGTAATTTTTACTTTTTACCTATTTTCCCATATCTCAAAAGCATTTTAAGCAAATCGAAAATTTTTTGCACACAATTATAAAATTTGTGTAAATAAATATAATAATAACTTTGAATAACTTTAAGTAAATATTTAGTATTTTTTACCATTTTATTCGATAATAATTGAAAAAAGTTTGAACTATAAGGAGTAAATTTTTTTATATGATTTTAAAGAAAGTAATTTTACATGGCAAAATATAAAATTTAAGCGTAATTGGTCAAACAGTTCCTGAGAATCAAATTTTTAAAATATGACTTTTTTACAGTAAAAAAATACAGTAATATTTAAAATGAAGTTTATTGTTTCAGCCATTGTTTTTTCTTTTAAACAAATGTGTTGCACTTCATTGTCTTCTGCAAGACTTTCTATGTTGTTTACTAAATTTTATTGTAAAAATTTTATATATTATGTAATATGCAATTTTTTATAATAAATTCCCACTGATCAGGCCAGCCCACCGGGTTGTGGCGAGCTGGACTGGTAGCCAGACGAGGACTATACGGGTAAGGGTTTTGCAAACCTAGGTACGTTTCCACGTCTGGAGGAAAGGAAAAGTAATATTTAAAATTATGAAGAAAAATTACTAACCAAAGATTTTGTAACAGAAGTACAGGTCAAAACATCAAGCAAAAAAAGAACAAAAACTAAAACGGCATACCATTATTTTACATTCAATAGATATGGTTATTTATTGCTGGTCTAAAGGACTATTGATTATTATTTCATAGTGGTCCCAATGCAATTCTGGTAGTCTACCTCAGATTAATAGAACACGGCTATTTTTGGGTCCCTGAATGTGATACATTTGATAATAGTAGAATATAAAGTGATCATGGACATCCTTGAATTAAATAAAGAGGGAGTGGTAAGATATTACACACGATTTCATGCAGTAGCTTAAACAAGGTGCATAGCCAGATTTTTCCGCAAAAAATAAGAAACTTTTAAGTACTTTTTAAGCACTCAAAAAATATTTTTTAACACTTTCCAAAAAATAAATCATAATTAGGATCTGTACAGTAATAAAAAAAAAATTCTATCGTTAAAATTTCTTAATTTAAAAACATAAAATCAATAAAATACAAAAACATTACATAATAATGATAAAATAACTAGCTTCTGATAAATATTACAGAGAAAATAATAAAAATCATGCATTTTTTGTTATTTAGAACAACAATCGACACGACAAAGAAAAAAATCTGTTTTTAAAAGATAGAAAATTAAGCACTTTTTACAAACTCCGAATAAAAAAAGCACCTTTAATGACTTTTAAAAAAGTAAATCGAAAATAAGCACCTTTAAGCACTTTTTAAAAATGCTACGCACCCTGTTGTTCCCACCTAATTAAACACCCATGCAATAGAAAATATTTTTTTTACTAAAAAAAATTTTTCAGCTCTTGCAACATAATTGTTATTTTTGTCTCCAAATGAAAAGACTTGTTACAATAGCGATCAGCAGCAAGAACTAAGGTTAAACTTCACTGGGAAAAATATTTTTTTACATAAAATAGTACTAAATATACTCACATTTGAATTAAATTTTCACTCTCAGGACTGATGGACATCTTGTTGGCACTAAGGGTCATGCCAAAAAGTAGCACTGCCAGTACAGAAGAAACACCAAAAGCATATTCAGCAACAAAATAAGTTATGTATGCCATAATAAGAGTCATAGACATCTCAGAAACAGGACTGATGTATACACACTGTAACATTCGATCACTAATTTTACCAAAAAAATAACCTATTAATGGTGCTCCAATACTGGTCTTGATGAAGTCCCAAATTATTTCTGCAACTAAAATTGTACAACTATTTTATTCTTCATAAAAATAAAAAAATAAATAAGCACATACATTTGGTCTATGTGTACATTTAGTACATATAACGATTCTTAAGATCTACGAGTTGGAAAAACATGGAATATGAAAACTTATTCTGAACAATCAAAGGTGGACCAGGATGAAAGAAATTAAATCTAAGTGGTCCACCAGAACCTAAATCAACAATTGAGGATATACATGCTTGCAAAAAGGAATATTATTAGAATATTAAATAAATGAAAGAATAATTCCTTCAAAAAAATTAAGCAAAAATTTCAGATAAATAATTTTTCTCTCTCTTGATCATATCAATTTTTTATTTCTTTTAGTAGCATACAGTAGGTTTATAATTTATAGTTACATTTACTTGAATACTAAGAACATTAGTTATATTAAAAATATTTATTAAAATAAATATAAACAAAAAAGTTTTAAGCTAAGAAGAGTATTAAAAATACACAAGTGGGCGACCTTTGTGCTAAAATACAAACTAAGGTAGACAACGTTAAAGAGCACAAAAATATTATTAAAAGCAGACAGCTGTTTCGGATGCTCAAAGGGCAACCTTCATCAGTGCATCTGTTGTACTGATGAAGGTTGCCCTTTCAGCATCCGAAACAGCTGTCTGCTTTTAATAATATTTTTGTGCTCTTTAACGTTGTCTACCTTAGTTTGTAAGAAGAGTATTACTTTAGAAATAAACTTTGAGCGGAAAAATTATATTTTATTCTATAACCGCCGTTGAACAGTTGACCCTATTTTTAATTTACAACTACTACTAATGTTCATTTTTGTAGCCTTGTACTTTCGAACCCAATTCAGAAGACAAGGAAACTCCTGAATCAAGTATTAGGGGAAATTTGCCTTCATGGAGGACTTTTTGATGGAACTAACCAACAATTGCATTACATGAAGAGGAAAAACGTGAAAACCTCCCACGCTCAGCTTGAAGACAAGAGGACTCGAATCCATGATCCGTCTACTACTGAGAGTATGTCTGTTCGTCAGCACTATGGTCAATGTGAGCCGGGTGTGGGATTCATATGGACCAGACATCACTGGGATTCAAGCTTTGGTCACATCCTTAGCCACCATGGCTCTGGACCAATCATATTGTCGAGGGACCAGGAAGCCAATGTTTATTCATAATTCATTATTATCAGTAAGCCATTGTCACAGTTAATTGAATTTCATTAAATAGCGTAAGTTAATTTACATATTTAATATTGCTTCTTGAAATAGTAAGATTATATGTTAACATGAAAAAATAAGTCATTAGTTGCAGAACAAGAGATAATCATGTGCTCGTTTTTTTTTTCTCCATAAATTTTGTGCACAATGAAGGAAAAATAAAATATTTGAAATTATGAAAAGAAAACTTTTAATTTTTATTTTAATTTGAATGTTCAAGAACTTTCAAATATAAATTTTTAACGAAAATAAGTCTTCACTTATTCTTTTCAAAAGAGCATTAAGTTATCATTTAAAAATAATTTCCTCTTACTTTTAAAGGAACATTGCTCTTTTAGTACCTTTATAGATCAGTAAATTATAATTTATAATAAAAATTTGGTAGCACAGTAAATTTTTAAAACACGATGAAGAAATACCTAAATAATTAATCTTAAGTACAAAATTGGAGAAAATATACGATATTCTACTTACTGTTCATTTTTCCAGGAGAAATTATTTGGTACGATAGTTTTTCATAAAGTAAAATTGAAATACCATCATTCAACAAACTCTCACTTTCAACTAGCATTATGAATGAATGGGGCATTCCTATAAAAAAAACATTAAACTTAATCTACGATTTAATTTAGTTTTAAAAATTGTATTTTATTTAAAATTATAAGGGGAAAAAACCAAACACTTTAATAAGTTTTGATCTAATGATCAGATTGTCATATACTAAGATCCAATCTTAATGTTTCAAGGGGTTAACCTTAAATATGTAAATTTGAGCAAAGTACATTTTTAAATTACAAAATCAGATATAAAAATAAATAAATAAATAAAAAACCTTATTTCTCTGTATGAACATACCAATTTTTTGTCATGTTCAATTTAATCCTCAATGTATCGGGGGAAAGCAGAAATCTGTTTTCAATAGTTAAGTTTGGTACCCTTAATGCATCTACTTTATGCTATTTTTTTCAAATCACTGAAACTGTTTAAACGAACCAAAGTAAAAAAAACGCACACAATTAAAAAATTTGTTCATACAAAATTTATTACATCAAAAATAAAAGTGTTACTTTCATAATGGTAAAAATAATATGTGAAATTAAAAGGTAAACAAATTGTACATAATTCTAAACTATTGTATGCAAATCTGTAATATCGAACAATAGTTTGAAATCGACAACATTTGTTAACTACAAATTTGAAAAATTCCACTAACTTCAATTGTTAATGGCTGTATTGACTGTACTATTTACAATTGTAAAAAGTAATTATTTTCAACAGTTTATTCTTACATGATTTTACGCTCTGTTAGAGGGGATTCTGGGTGATAATCAACCGCTCTAGGCTTATGGAAGTTCTTTGAAGGGCCATCTTTGTCATGGAGCTATTGTTGCTCTGGCCAAAAATGAAATTTCAAGAGGTGATTCTTCTAAACTATGAAATTTTAAAAAGAGCCGAGAGGGCTAAGGGGATAGTGTGTTCACCTTTCAATGAAGTGTATTTGGTTCGAATCCCAGCGATGGCTGGTTGATACAAATTCTGCACACGGCTGACATAAAATATCCTCGGTGGTAGACAGCTCATCAGTTAGAGTTGCTTTGCGGTCAGGCTAACCGTCGTTTTCCTCTCCATGTAACGCAAATGCGGCTTAATTCCATCAAAACGTCCTCCACGAAGACAAATTTCTCTCAATACTTGATCCAAAAGTTCCCTTGTTTTCTGGATTAGGTTCAAAATTACAAGGTGACGGCATTGAACATTAGCAGTCGAAAACTCAAAAATTCATTTGGCTGTTCAACTACGGTTTTAAAATAAAAAAGCATCGAAATAAAATTTTAAAAAAGTTAGATATTTATAATTTTCCTGCTCCTAACTTTAATTCATTGAGTTCAATTTACTTGCTTTAAATTAATGGCGTAAAAATGTGCATAGTTGACAATAAAAAAAAATTTACGCTATTACATTAACTAATAAAAAAATTATAAGTAATACTAAAAGACTTTAATTTACACATAATTATCTTAAGATATACGAGTTCTATAATTGTGTGAAAAATTTCTTTGATTTGCTGAAACAGTTTCAAAGCTATAACTGAATATGAAAAAAATAAAATTAACAGAAAGATGTCAAAACTTTCATCTACATTCCTGACTAAAATAATTGGGAAAATATTTTCGAAATTGCCTCTTCTCACCATATTTTAAAAGTCAAAAATCGAAAACTGAAAAAAAATTTAGAGTAAACACATTTTTTAGTCTGATTTTTTAACTTAAAATATTATGTGAACAAATCAATAGGAATATTTAAAGTTGGCCCATTAAATCATTGATTACCATTAGTATGTGAAAATCTGGTCATTAGATCAAAAGTTATAAAAGTATTCTATTTTTAATTTATGGCACTGGATAGGACTTTGAAATATTAAAATTATTGCTTTTTTAACTCTATGCTACAAAATTAATGCAATTTTTTTTTAAATTAAAATGTTGAATATAACTGAAAGTTTAAAATTTCCTTAAGGTTTCTTACAGTAGAACATATAAGCTAAATGCAGACATTCATTCTGGCTCTATACATATCTTTGTAACTTTAGAAGAAAACACAAACCATACTTTCTTTTTATGACCAAAATGACAGTGTTTCTAGGGTTCATATGTACAAATCACAATATGTCAAATAAAAATTTTATTTTCATAATAGTGAGCTTGTATTTTATATGCATTAAAAAAGTTATAGCTGTTTTAAAGACAAAAGTGTAATACTATTAAATAGCCTACTTTTTTGAACTTTTTGTATTTTTTAGCCTGTCTTCTATTGATGTCTGAGTAGTTTTAACTAAAAACAAACTAATTTCTTTCTAATGTGATGAAATAATGTAAAGGATCTGGCGAACTTAATAAATTTTTTTATCTCAATGTTCATATTTTAATCAATCTTCATTTTATCATGTTATAAAAATTTAATCACAAATATAAAATTTTTTAAAAAATTAACACTTATATAATACAATGATTACAACTTATTTTTTTTTAAATTATCCACTACATGCTGTACTCGTAAGTTGAAAAAAAATCATCAAAATTTGATGCCATTTTGATTTTTTTAAACTACAAGAATGTAGTTTTTGTTGCACATAGGATTTTTAAAAAATATTTTTTTTTTTACAAAATTACAGTGTTTTGAAAAAACAATTTAAAAAATGACATAAAATAAGCTAAGTTTTCATGTTATACTCAAAAGCAGTTAAACCAATTAAAAATCCTTAAGCGCAAACAAAACTATATTTCGTATGAACATCACGTCAAAATTGAAGTAAATCAGTTGAAAATTGAGTTAGTTAGAGATATCGCAAGTAAGAGAAACATAATTGTGTTTTGAATAAATTGCATTTTAAGTTTTGTGATCAATAATCCAACTAAATATGTACAATTTTGCAACTAACTATAATGCATCAATACCAGGTCTATAAGATGCTTCTTATTCATCATTTTCAGCTGTCTCAAGTGCTAGTACATAGCTTTTTTTCTTGTCAATCTACCCTCATATGTTTTCAAAGTAACAGCTGAAATTCTGCAGTCATTTTCATTTTGATTACCTATATTTTCTGTTTACCTATATTCTGGGCCTACATTTATTGCTAATAGTTCCAAAACTATCAATAATCTTTGCAATCTTCATTATAAAATATTACAGCTAAATAAGTTGCGATTTCAACTATTTATATAGAAAGCAGATTGTAATTCTGTTTCTTACACAATTTAAACAAATTGTTTCAATAAAATTGTTAAAATGAAAGTATCTAACTAAAATGTTTCGATAGGAGTGAGCAAATATATTAATCAACTAAACATACAAGTTCACATGCGCCACACTTAGCATATTAACTATAACCTTTACCAAAATCAATATTTTGGTACAAGAATCTTAAAAGGTAAACTAAAAAAACTAACAAAAACTAAACTAAAAAAAAAAAAAAAATGCTTTTTTTTTACTTATTTTTTTAAACTTTTACTGATTTTCCCCTTTAAGTATTTAAATAATCATAAAAGAATTAAGAAATAAAGTAAATAACATTAATTTTAAATTTCTTATTAATTTTCTAACGGATATTTTTTAAATTAAAACAAACTTTGAATATGCACTTACGCATTTCATGCAAGAGATCAACAACAGCCACAGGATCACTTGCACTCACGATTGAACCAAATAGAAAAGAAGTAAGCCAACTCCAATTATAATAGGAAAGAGTATATTTTGCAAAAACACCATTCAAAACAGAACAGAATACTGAAATTTTAAAAAAAATATATTAACAACATATTTATATACTGTGGTGATACATATGCTTTAAGCGATGTAGTTAATTCTTCCAGGTCAAAATGTTGAAATATTCTTAAATTAGCTTTGGATAATTGAAAATGCTCTACCTATATTTTACCCCATAGCATGTTTAACCACTAATACTGTAATACATTGATGAGCAACCTATGCGCCCCCCCCAACCAAAAATAGCATGTCATTGAGCTAGTATAAATACAAAAAAATATTTTTTAAAAATATACATCATCATTAGCTTATATATCATTCAATATGAAGATAAACTTTTGAATTTCAATTTTAAAAAAAATACTACGTAGGTTCAAAATGAAAATTAATACATTTTCTGACCAATTTAGAAAATCATTAAGTAGCCTCCCTCTATATATAAATACCTTTTTAACACATTATAATTTACAATTAGAAATATGTTATTTTGATGCAAAGGTTGAAAGAGATGAAGACAAAAATAAATAAATAGATTCACGAAGAAAATTAAATTTAACAAATAGTATTAAAGTTAAAATTTAAAAAAGAAACTAAATTGATCTTAGAGAAAAAATTTACTGTATATTTTCTATTTCAATAACTTTCAGGTAAAATGCAAATGTGCAGGTAAAATGCAACCAACTAAACATTTTTCAATTTTGTGGTCTATCAAAACTTTTTAAAAAATAATAAAATAGAAGAAAAACTTTCAAAATACAAGTTTCACTTTGGCACAAAGGAAATAATATAATTGTACAATATGATAAGCACATAAATTAAAATAAATTTTACCTGTTCCTGGAATGGCAACCACTAAAGATTGAGGTAAAGCTTTTTTAAACATGTGTGGATTCATATTAAATGAGGATTCAAAAACTAGAAATGGCAGGAACAGAAGCATTATGTCACTGGGGTTCATTCTCGCCACAAGTGTAAAACTATGTATAAACTTGCTGTATAAATCCAAGAGTCCTATGCAAGCTCCAAATATGAAACAGCTCACAGTATAAGGAAAGTTAAATTTCTTGGAACCAAAGTCAATAATTACTGTTAAAAAATACATAAACATTAAATATAATTATACATGTTTATATACATAACACATTTTTTAAAACGCATGAAAAAAACAATGTAACACATCTATTATTAAACTGAAGTTTATTCTAAAGTTTTACAACCTTTAATTGTGGAAATTAAAGAAAAGAAATTGATACTATATTGATGAGACAATGTTTACTATTTATTCAACATAATAACTCGACAGGACCAACAGATAAAATCAACTAACTTTTCTTGGGTTATTTTCAACAAAGTAGACATATAACTTTAGCAGCACCATCTATTATAAATATTTTGCCTGCCATATGAAGGCTAATTTAAGAACTTAAAAAGTATAACTAATTATTGATAAAATTATATATTTTTAATTATTTATAGACACAAAGAAACTTGGTACTTCAAATATTATTAATTTTTTTCTTTTTTGTGTCATTTACTTTAAAATTTGCAATTTGAATAGATAGAAATCATTTCAAAATGTAATACTACATTAACTGGTAAACTTCATCTTCAAATTAGAAATTTAAACATTGTGAGAAAAATGAATTTGTGTTTGTAAGCCCATTTATTGGTTACATTTAATGATTTTTCAGAACATAAGTACAGAATTATTAAAAAAATTAGCTAACAAATCATTTTTAAAAAAAGTCGATAAATTACTGTAATAAATATATAGACTTATGATAAATTTAATAAGATTACATACTTCCAGCAAATAAACAACACATGATGAATTGTACACTTCTAGCTCCAGACAAATACTCTTCAGAAAAAAAACTAGAGCTGTTAAAAGTTTTATTCTCAGCAACTGAGTAGCTCATATTAGTTTCATTACCCATTAAAGCAAGAGCCGAATTTTGCTAAACCTAAAAATAACAAAAAAAATCTTAATACTATAGGTGAATTTAGTACATAATAGAAACATAAAGGAAAATAAATACATAAATAGAGATTAAACTTTTATGTTTTATAAAATCTATTTTTGAAAAGGAGTCAAACTTAAAAAATATAGGCAGCAAATAATATTGGCATAATAAGGTGAGAATATTTCCTTTATATTTATTACCTATAATTTTTCTCAAAATTAACATATATTTTTTTTATTTAACTACAAGTACAAGAACTAGTCAGTGGCTCTTGGCTGCTGTAGTTCGCGGAATAAGGATCCAGGTATGGAATTGTCTCAAAAATCTAATATTTTCCACATTTTTTTAATTAATTTCTTTTGTTAAAAAACAATTAAGGTACACTGTGAACTAATCATAGATAATTAATACATCATTAAAAAGTTAAATAATAAACTGCATTGTAAATAGAAAGCAAATAACTATTTTTAAGGAAAATGATAAAACGAATATTTATTTCTTATCCAAAAACTACATCTTTAGACTCAGTTTCTGATATTGAATTCAATTATTTTTGAGGAAAACAAACATGAATACCAAAATAGAGTAAAAGACAATATTTTAAAATGAAAATTTAAGAAACAAACTATATTTTATGAAAGGAGTGAGCTAGTGAGCCTCTTCATGGGCATTTTTAAATCAAATACCACTGCTCTTAAATCTATAAAAATAAAAATGAATAATGCCTACATTTTTTGATAAATTTTTAGTAGTTAAACTAATTTTGATGAGTTATCAATCAGTTTTGTACGTTTAATTTTATCATGTTTCTATAAATTATTATCAAAAATTATTTTGGTATATTAAGCTTTAATTACGTTCTAACTTAAATATAGTTTAATTTATAAAATAAGAGTCTTTTATTTATTTATACACATCAAAAATTTGCAGTATTTTTAAGTTCCAAAAACTTGCAGTATTTTTAAGCACCAAAAACAGAAGGTAGAAATCAAAAAGAGAACTTGGTTATCCGCAAAATAAACTTAAAGTCTCGAAAAAAACCGCGCGACTGTATGGTTTTTTAAATAGACATCTGCCTTCTATTTTTCATTACGCGAATATTCGCAACGGGATCACTAAATTTATTCCGAAGAAAAAGTTTAATATTTTGAACATCGGTTTTTTGACTTGCCATTTTTTTTTTCTTTAAAAGTTACACAAAATTATTTTACTAACTAGCAATAATAAACTCTTAGAAACTAATAAATTTTTATCAATGTAATATAAATTTTATATCGGCTTTTAAATGATTTAGCAAAAGAATGCAAAATGTTTTGGATTTGTATATTATATTAGAATAAAATTTCTGGCAATGACGTTAAATCCAATGCCGACAACACGCTTCGAATGATTGTGCAGTTTGGAAAGTTTTTTCTTTTTTAGAGTTCATTGGAAGTTTTAGTTTGTATTTTTTGTAGTTGTTCTTCATCAGTTTTAAACCATGTTAATTACTTTGAAAACTCTAAAACAACAGACTTTCAAAATAGAAGTGGATGAATCGGAGTTGGTATGTAGGCTTAAATCATTCTATTTTGATGACTTGACGGATGGTACAAAATAAATACATTTAACTGCCGTGTCTCTTTAATCCCAAGCACCCCCCGAATTAATTTGTATTTTATATTTGAGATCATTTAACAGAAATGAAATGTTAAACTAATTATTTTGGGGGGTTTAGTGAATTGAATTTGTTGTTGTGAGTTATCACTTTTAAATATTTTCAGTTAAAGTAGCATAATTAATGCAATTCGATTACAAATGTTCTTTTTTTGTCTCTTATCTTAATCGCTTAATTTATAGCTTCTGTTATACAAACCAGGTTTCTATAAGTGTGTACAATGTTTAATTTAGTTATTCGTTAGCATTTTTTTTTCAATATTTTGTACTTGGTAGAAAACCCCAGTAAACTCATATCAAGGTAAGTAAAATTTGTACTGCTGAAAGTTTTATAAATAGAGCCCGGTTATAGTTAGATATCTATAGATTTCATACTCTTTCTTGTTGAAATTAAATATTGTACTTATAAGCTATGTCTGTCATTAAACTAGCTATGTTAAATCTAGTTTTTGTCTGAATTGTACTTGCTTTCCAAGAGCATGGTTTTCGGTTTTTTGGCATGTGTTAAAAAAAACTGTTTTAACCATAAATATGACCATTATGTCAAAAACTTAAAAATTTGTATTGGTGTATTCATATTAAACTTGTGTTGCATTGTAGTGTTTTCAGGGTTGGGTTTTTGACGTCAAAGACTGATTTGTGACAAAAACTTATAAAAAACCTGGGTCAAGTTCCGTTGTTGTCATTGGGGACATTTTATTAGATATTAAAGATATTAAAAACAACCAACCTCCATTAATGACCATTTTACTTGGGAACAGAAAGTGGTGACTCCCTAAAGTTTTCACTATACTATTACAGGGTTGGCAAGGTTTAAGACAGAATGGATTAATCCACGGTTTAAACCGTCCTGTCCAAGACCCCTTTGTCCAAAACTGTCTTAAACTGTCCAAAACCCTTTGACTCAATTTATGTCACAATTTTATCTGAACAATATTTAAGAGGCAAAATAAACATAAAACTAATAACATATTGATAATTAAATCTACTACAGAATATTTGTTTTTAAAAGTATAATGTTTTATTATTATTGTTTGACTCTTCAAATTAACATTAAACAAAGGAAGATTAATCAGTAATCAAGTTCAATTGGTCCTCTCATTCAATAGTACATAACTGAAGTTGGACCTTGCCATACAGGTTAAGCTATTAGGGACTAAGTGCATAGTTAGTCATAAGCAGNCATTATATCCAGGGTTGGGTTTTTGCCGTCAAAAACTGGTTTTTGACATGACAGTGGTAAAAACAGTGTTTTTACCGGTAAAAACCGTCAAAAACCTACTGTTTTCTTTAATTTATGGCATATAGCGGACAATATATTATTTTCACATAATTGCCTTTATAAATGAATGTAGCTATTGATTTTGCAACTATATACATGTATTCTTATAGAAGGATATACATTCATATAGAAATATTGTTACATACTTATTGAAAATAGTGATACTTATTTTTATTATTATAGCTTGATTTGCAAAGGATTCAAAATTTTTCGCTTCTTAATTGTTAGAAGTAAACAAATAAACAAAAAAGCTTGGAGCTATTAACAAATTCAAGAATTAAAAAGAAGAATTTAAAATTTGGCATTTCTTAAATATTAGAAATAAGCTAAACAAAACTTTCAAAACTTGTAGCCCCAGTGGCAGAATTGGAGCGACACGGCGACATTGTCGCTGAGTGTTACAGAGTTCTTGCAGAAAGATTTTTCTTTTGAAAAGCAAAAAAAAATTTAATTTTCTTTTCTACAGAAAAATTTACACGTAATATTTGAATCATGCATTTAAGCAATCACTTTTTGACGCTTTCGATTTACGCCGTACGATACTATCATAAATCGGTGTAATGTTTCGATTGTATTTTTGGCAGTTAGGAATATTGATTTTCATGTGGTTTTTAAATATCCCGATATATTTCAAGCAATATGGAACATTCGAATCGTGCGTTTGAGTATTTACTTTTTAAGGTAATAATTGTGTCGAATTTTTGACAGCTATTACTATTGATTTCTCCTTAGTTTTTAAATCCGATATTTTTAATATAATATTATTAAGTGCAACAATCTAATCTTGAAGCGAACCACGCATTTGAGGAGTCCGATTCACATGATTCTTTCTTTTGCCAAATAGTATGAAGGACTTTATGGTTTTTAATTATTTTTTTTATTGTGATGGGTATTTACAAAATTCGAAGAGGGAAATAATGTGTGCGCTTACCCCCCTCCCCCTCAATAAAATTCAAGAATATCACCATAATATTAGAATAAAAAACTATTACATGTTCATTTAAAAAATATATATATTATGTTTTTTATTATAAACACAGAGCTTTTATTATTTCAAATTAGTAATATATATGCTTGTTATTATTAAAAGTTCTTGCAGAAAAATATTAGTGCTAAAGAGTTTTGTCGCAGAAAGCTCGGAAAATTCTGCCACAGGGCTTGTAGCTACTAACTAACTCTAAGTCAAGAATGACTTGACATTCTTCAGTAATGTAATATGCCAAACAAAATGATGCTCGGAAATGTTGAAAATTTTGTTTAGTATCCTAATATTTTACTTCTAATAGTATGTTTTAATATAATCATGTTGGGAAAATGCAAGAATCTGTTCTTAAATATCTTTTAACAACTTTTTTTCTAATTTTATTGCCTAAAATGAATTAATTTTAAATTACAAGCAGTTAAACTCAAATAAAAATAGTTTTACCAAAACTATGGGTTTTTGACATGACGGTAAAAACCGTCATGTGTCAAAAACTTGCCAACCCTAGAAATATTAGACCCTGAGATTAGTGATGTGGCCGAATACTTACTTTTTAAAAATTTGTCTTTTGATTGTAATTTTGTAATTAAAGTAATTCTCAAATTTTAAATTAAGAATGAAATAAATATTAAAAAAATTGCTTTTTTATTCTTTGTATATTTAAAAAAAAATTTAACAACTTGATTTATTTTTTGTAATAATTTAAATATCTTGATGCCAATAACAAGGCAATATGGCTTTTATAAATCTAAGTAATTAATAATAGCATATTTTAGTTGTAGTTATACTTGTAATATATATGCTATTTTATTTAAAATAGGAACTCATTACTGCTGTTAAATGTATTCTTAACTTTCTTTTTTGTCAGAAAAATTATTAAAACCCCGAAAATTAAGCTTGTTAAGTAACTTGTTTCTCTAAGTATCAAGACATCCATTAAATGGATAATTAATGTTTTACATTTATAATAAAAAATTATATAATCATATATTTCTAGTGCTATTATTGATAAATAGATATAATTAAGGGAATCACAAATACATTTTAATTGCCGATTCAGATAGTATTCACACTTCTCAGGGGTCTGTCTAGGTTTTTCTGAGAGGTACCTATTTTGTGAAAATTTAGGCATGATTTGTGAAAAATTAAAAATTATATTTATAAATCAACACAAAAATATGGTAAAAATATGGATTTATCGTTGCTTAAGGGATACAAAAATAAAATTTTAAGAAAAAGTATGTTGTGAAACTACCGTTTTTCCTAAAGTTGAATTTGTGAAGGTACCGCTAAACGGTAGTAAATTCAGCCTGGACAGATCCCTGCTTCTATTTAACAAACTATATATATTTGTATTTAATGTAAAAGATTCCAATGCTTGTTTAAATACATATGATGATAAATTTGCAACAAGAAAACGTTTTTATTTGTGTAACATTATTAAATACACTTATGTATTATGCAACTTAAATAGAGTAATTGTTAGATTTTCTAATAATTAATGCAGTGAAATATAACTCTGCAATATTCATGATTATATATACTTTAAAAGCACATTTAAAAAAATATCTTTCTTTATTATTATGAATTTATTCAGCCGAATAACTTCAGTATTCGGCTAGGCTGAATATTCGGCAAAAGGGCCGAAAACCGAATAGTGGACGAATATTCGTTACATCCCTACTGAGAATTTTTTGCACTCCTGCTTATAAGTACATGAATATTAATTGTGACTATATATATTCCCTCATAAGTAGACTAATTATATAATTTACAAAAAATTTACATGTTTGTTTAAATGAGTTAATAATTTTTTAAATCAATCATCTCAAGGGTTGTATTATAGTAACCTATAGGGCCACATTGTGAACCCCCTAATAAACCTATAATTATTTCCTCTGGTGGGGTACACTAGTACCCGGTAATATAATATGTGGTACAATTTGAATATTATGAGTCAATATTAAGGAGAGATATAGGGCCATGTTGTAATACAGATTATTTATTACAGATTATTTACTTATTACTATCAATATTTAGTACACTGTTATTCGAATCAATTTCTTAATTACATGTTATTTTATTGTTATATTATGTCAAATTTCTAGTCTATGCAGCTCAGCCAAAATAATATTTTTGAATTTTGCTCTTATTCATACATAAATGAAACTGAAAAATTAACTTGGGGTGCACAGGGCTATTTTCTTGTAATCACATGCTAAGGGAAAGAAGTCAAAACGGGAAGAAATGGAAATTAATTTTACAAATAACAGTGTTTTCAGTACAGAAAAAAAATGGGAGAGAATTTCTCACACTTTCTCAAAAATAGGGTGAGATTTCTAAAAATTACAAAAAAAAAACACGAATAGACTTGGAAAAAAATTATTTCTTTAATTATAATACATTTTTAACATCTTCTAATTGAATATTTTTGCTGCATCATCAAATGGAAAATGTTCGATATCTACTTTTTCATCAGCTATTACATTTATTTGGCTGAAAAATATCCGTATTTGTTTCGTTTTGACCTTTCTACCGACATTCGTTTCATTTTCATTTGTCCGTTATGGAGTAGAAGATGTCGCCTTAACAGGGTATTTATCCATCTTACATTCATTCACAAAAAATGTAAGCGTCTTACATGAAGAAACCTTACCTACGGTGAACACGCGGTTGCAGAGAAATGTGTTCTGAAAGGGGTTCCGTGGTTCGGGGGTGTGATGTTCTGCTCTGCGCATCGATTCTGAACAATACTGGTAAATAGGGAAGCTAGATAACAAGGACCAATGTTCAAAATAATGAAAGATCAAGGAAGTTAAACGGATTTTATTCAAAATGGCAAAAGACGAAATTTTTTCCAAAATTCGTTCCTTTTGAAATTGATCAATAGAGTGTGCGAACTTCTCATTTTTTATTGCGAGAAAAGGAAAAAATATGCGAGATTCTCGCGTTCTCGCGCTGTAGTGAAAACACTGCAAATAATGAAGATAATGGTTTTTTATTTTTATTATCAATAATTAAAAAATTAACAGATTGGATAATTTGCACTTTTTCCTCATTTTTATTTAAATTATTTAATATTTTCTATATCAAAATTAGGATTTTTGACAGTAATCGTCAAAACAAAAAGTTAAAATTATTCAAACTCATAATTGATCAATCACTTGTAATTTTATATGTATGTTTATTTATAAATACTTCATATTTATAATAGCTAATAATTATCCTTGCCACAAAATTTTGAGTTTTTGGTACTTGTCAAAAACTTCTCAACCCTGGTTTAGGTCAAAGATTAAATATATTTCTTATACAATTTAACAAATGATAAAAAGAAATGTTTTAGAGAATAAAGCCTTTTATTGTAGGCAATATTTTGAAATTTGAACCTGTACATAAGAACAAAATATCTGCTGAAGAAGTTTTCTAGTTATAAAGTTGCATTAAAGAACTTAAGATATCTAGAAGAAGAAAAATACTTATTTAAATAATTGTTTGTTGTAAATACCTTATCTTTCTTATAATTGAGGTTATGAAAAGACAAAGTATGAAACTTAAGTTTCCACCTTGCTGTAAATTCGATTTATCAGCAGGGGCCTTTTCAGGCCAAATTTACTACTGTTTAACGGTACCTTCACAAAATACTTTTTCTTAAATTTTACTTTGTATCCCGTAAGAAATGATAAATCTATATTTTTGCGTGGATTTTTTAATATTTTTATTTTTCACAAATTATGTCTAAATTTTCACAAAATAGGTGGGTACTTGTCAGAAAAACCTGGACAGACCCCTGATCAGAATCCTTCCCCTTTAATTGTATTAAAGTGTAAGTTTTTTAAATTAATTTCTTTTTTCAACCAATATTATTTACAAATTAGTCCTATATTATAATTTTTATTAGGTATAAATAAACAGTTAAAAAGCTTAAAATTTATTATAAGTCAGTTCAGAAACTGCTAGGTTATGAAAGCTTACCAATAATGTTTCAAATATTTTACTAAAAAATATTTAACATGCATTATGGTTTTGTTAATGAAACCTTTTAGTGTATTTCATGTGTTAGAAAAATTACTTAAAAAAAAAAACAAATTTTTCTAAATTGTTTTAGAATTTGTCTGAAAAAGTATTTTTTCCTTATTTCATTAGCGAGAAAGTTATTTTTTTATGAGCAATGAATTGAGCGATTCAGAGTTGCATCCTCTTTTAGGAAATGAACTAAAAATATTCTCACTCTTAAAGACTGCTCTAAGGTTTAGGTTTTAGAAACACTGGCTGTTTTGACTATGACTAGTTATACTGTGCTTGTGACAATTTTAGTCTATCTATATTTTTGATCATTGTGCTCTTCAACCAGATTATGTGACCAGGCATGCTTCATACTCAGGGTTGCGTACTTTCTATGCTTTTTGAAAAATTTTCTTTTATTAGTAGTTAAGTTTGTTTTAATATGTGATTCATTGTTTTGTAAATTTGATTTAAAGTTATAATTATTCAAAAATTCATGTGAAATGCCACTTTATTTAAGCTCTTTTGCTTAGGTTTTTTAAATGCTAGAAAAAGTCTTTAAGTCAGGAATGAATAACCTGCGGCCCGTCAACTGCTGATAAACTACCTGCAAAGGCTTGTGACCATGATGGAATTTTTTTTTTCAGAAATAAAAAAAAATTTAGTCATTTATTTGAGTATCACTTTTTGAAAACAATTTGCATGTGTTCTATTCTAAATCTATGTTTCTCGATCACTTTTTCTAAGAAATTCAACTTGTTTTTTTTTTTAAATAAATAAAAGCATTTTCACTGTGATGCAGGAATTTCGAGTTTGATCAATCACTTTTCGACTAGCTTTATTTTTCCAATTTTATTGTAAGCATGAATAAGGCTTCAGTCTCTTTTTTTTTTTTTTTTTCCTAGTAATCAATTTTCAAGTGGTTTTTGAAATCTTGATACGTTTATTATGACTTGTGAGTTAAAAATCACATTTAATTGAACACTTTTTGTTGGGCTTTATTTGTATCAATTTCATCATAAATTTAAATTTTTGTATATATATATATATATAGCAATAACTGCTTTTATGTATATATAAGCAGTTATTGCTATGCTTTTCTTTTGCCGATTTAATCATAAATCCAAGTTTAATTATTTTTTTACAGTTTTTGCTTTGCATTCCCATGTGATTTTAAAAATTCAGATTTTTATTGCAACACACAAATTTAAAGCATGCATTTAAATAATAACTTGTCATGTTTTATTCGTGCCAATTTCATCATAACAATTATTGCGATGTTTTTCCGTGTTATCTTCACGATTCTGTTATTACGACACATGAGTTTTTTATCGCACATTTAATTAATCACTTTTTTATTCTATTTATTTGTGCATATTTCATCTTAAATATGAGTTATGTTTCTCTCTTTTTTTTTCTACTGTAAGCGCTGTGCATTTGTACCTCATATTTAGAGTCCCAATATTTTTATACAATGTTACTGCAACCTGAAATTTGAAAACTAGAGAAGAACTCTAATTTGTAATTTTTTTTTTTTTTAATAGCTTAGGTGATTTTTTTTTTGAGTAAAAGTGAAAAAGAAAACAATTCCTATTTAAAATTCATAAAAGGTTTATTAATTCAAGAAATAGAAATATCTGAAATATAGTACTAAATAAATATTGAATCTTATTTTGTACATAATAGTTTTGTTTAAACCCTATAAGTTATCTTTAATTAAAATCAGGGTTCATTGATTTAAATCAGCTTGATTTNTCTGATTTAAATCAAAAAAATCCGATTTAAATCAAAAAAATCTGATTCTTTTGATTTTTTTTAAAAAAATCAAAAAAATCACGAACCCTGATTAAAATATGTTTTTTTACACTTTCATTCTGTGAGCATCTAGTACTTTGAACACTAACGTTTATATGAAAAATATATTTGCCGCTGACTTGGCTTAATATGCTTGTGGCCCTTCGTTAGTTAATCTGTTGTGCAAGTGCCCCTTCACTCAAAAAGGTTGTGCACCCTCTGCTCTAATTCTAGTTTTTAATTGCGAACCTCTGTATAAAATATTTTGCAAAAAAAGTGGTAGCTGGCATAACACTGTGTTAATGAGACCGTTAGTTTATCTTTTTTATTTAATTGTATTATATTACGTGAAAATGTCTATCAAAAAAATATTTTCACCTTATATTTATTTATGAGAAAGTTATTTTCAACTTAGCAGAAATATAATTGTTTTGCTTATAGGTTAGAACATTTAAAGAAAAAATTGAAGCTCACAAGGGCGGTGAATTTCCAGCCAACTGTCAGAAATTAATATATGCAGGTAATAAAATTTTTGGCATTTGAATTTTTTGCTATTTATTAAACTGTCAATGTCATGTTTTAATATTAGTAATGCTACATCTTTTGCCCAACTTCTTAATTTTTATCAAAAAAATTTATCTATAAATAATTTACATATTTATTTAAGAAAAATTAGGATTTCATAAGTCTCTCTATTTAAAAATAATTATTATAATAGGTTATATATTTTATGAAAAAAAGTAAATATAAAAATTTCGATAAAAAGTTTATATTGAAAAGTTATAACTTTATTTTACTACATTAAATTTTATTTATTTAAATTTCAGCTGATCTTACAGTAGTTATTCCAAAACAATTGTATTGATCATTAAAAGATTCTTTTTCCAGTTTCTTACAATGTTCTAGAAGAAATAGGTTTCTTCTGGAAATGATCCTTATATTTATTACTATCATTATTTACAGTAACTGATATTTAAGTTTAAATAAATATATAACTAATACTTGTTGCTGTAAATGAAACAAAAAAAAATTTTAATATTTCTTTTAAAATAGATAATAAAGTTTTAAACATTGACCAAACAATTTAAACAACTTTCTAACTGATAAATAATAAACAATAAATACTTTTTACTAGTTCAATTATATCTCAACTTAAGACAAATTTTCTGTTTATTTGGTTATTCTAAAGTTCCTGCGGATTTTCCACTTCTACTTTTTTTCTCCAGTTTTATTAATGTCCTGGAAGAAATATAGTTTGTCTAAGCTAAGAAGTCCTCCCGCCACAAAGTCTGAGGTTGCCTGGTGCTACGGAAACAAGAATGGCACATTTTAGAGAGGGTAGCTTCACTCTAGGACTAACACAATAGACCGAAGAAAATGATTCCCTTCCTCTCGCCGACCCGAGAGGAAACTACTCCAAAACAGTATCCCCGCACCCGAACTTGAAATAGTTATACCTTGTTACTATAGTCACCACCACAGATCCAGACAATGTCTAGGGGAGTTCTTATTTTAGACAAACTATAGGTTTCTTCTTGAAGAATGCTGAACACTGGTCTATATTTTTTCTTTGTTGAACAATTATATTTAAATTAAAAGATATTGGACATTTTTAATTATCTATTATCTCATCATCTTTCTGTGTATTAATCTCATCTTCTTTCAGGCAAAATTCTAAGTGATGACACAAAAATTGGAGAATATGATATTGATGAAAAGAAATTTGTTGTTATTATGGTAACAAAGGTAAGTTAAGATATTTTTTAAAAAAATAATAAATTTAAAGATTTTTCATTGATTTATATTATTTGTTTATTTGGAACATGCAATAGGTGGGTGTATTATGATTTTTCTCATTGCTCCTTTCTTTATCATTTTCTTGTGTATTTTTCATTCACTCTCTTGTTTTAATGACCTTTCATTGTTGTATTGTTTGTTTTTATTGTTGAGATTTTTTATCGGGTTTTTCTTATTAAACAATAATTGCGCATTCTTCAATTCTAGCCTCAAAACTCTCCTCAAGAAGAAAGTACGTCTGCAGGTGCCACAGCAGCTGTTGCTGCTGCTAAACCTGCTAGTCAAACTCCTGCAAAAGCCCCAACTCCTAAGGAAAACCCTGAAGCTTCTGCAGTAGAATCAAAACCTGCTGAAGCAAAAGGTGAAGAAACAGCTGAGCCAAAAGAATCGACTGAAAGTTCAGATACCAGGTTTAAAAAAATTATTTTGATTAATTAATTTTAAATTTTTATATGTTTTGTTCAATATATCTTTCGTGGAAGAATCTGTATATACAGTGAAACCTCCTGTTATGGAAACTCCTGCTAAACGTACGTCTCACAATACAGACATATTTTTAATACCATGGAATCTTTTATGCATAAACCATTATATACATTCTCCGCAAAACAGACGCTCCCATAACCGAAACTGGACACTACTTTTTTCTAAATTTGAAAAGAAAAAAAAAGAACTATTTCTTCTTTAAGTTGCATTGAATGCAACTTTTCACCACTTTTAAAACATGTAAATTTCTTGCCTTATCCATAACTAAAAATATTGTTAAGCTATTTCACTACTAAAGAATCAATCTTTCTCTTGTCACTTTCCTTTATCCTTGTAAAAAGAAAGAGAGAGAAAATGATACTGCTCTCCTGAAATAATTCGGACACCAGCATTTTTTGATCTTTTCATCTGGACCACACCCCTCAAGTTGAAATGATGACTTAAATGCTCCTAATGCTTCTTCCCCATTGAAAATTTCTTTAATTTTCTTATCAATTTGAAGACTGTATTTAACACAACACAGCTGGATAAAAAAGAGAACAGAAATATAATCTTTGATGTGTTCATATAAACTAAACGATTATTCAGACATTTGATAGGTGATCAATTGTGAATAATCAACTCCATAGGTCCTCATGATTTAACTGTGAATCATGGGAGGTTTACTTTCAAGAAGGTATTAACCATGTTCTCTATCAATGTAAAGGGATGTAAACTTAATAAAAACAGACTTAGGATTGAAAGCTTCTATTCGGTATCATACGTCTGACTTGAGTATATATGCTAATAGGTAAATTATATTCATTAATCTGTAGCTACGTCTAGAATTATGTATTTATATCAAACTTCTTTTTATATTCTTTTTTATCTTTCTTAAAGTTTAAATAAATATCCTTGTAGATAGTTATTGAAAATTATTTAATTATTTCTACATCTAGTAATTGTTACAAATCTATTACTACATTTTTTGGCATAGGGTGTTCAAAAACATTATTTTCCATTTGTAATTTACTGTTGGTCCCTCACTCCTCTAAAACTTCATTGACATGTATAAAAAATCGCATGATCCAAACACTTCTGATGTTATAAAATATTTCATTATGTATTTCTGTAGATGTATGAAAAAATTTACTATTATGGAAGTGTTTCCATTATTCTGTCCAACCCCTGTATATATATGAATGATCTAACTATTCAATGTTTGTAATTTTTTATTTTCAACTGTATTTTCCGTTTCAGCCTTCCCAGTGTAAATGTTGAAGCATTAAATATATCTGCAGCTGAATCTGCTCTTCTTCTTGGTGCAGATTATGAGCGGACGGTTTCTCAAATAATGGAGATGGGGTACGAAAGAGATGATGTTGAGCGTGCACTTAGAGCAAGTTTTAACAATCCAGATCGAGCTGTGGAATATTTACTTTCGGTATGTGTTTTTAAGCATTTTCGTTTATTAGGCACAGGGTTCTTCCTTTGATCTGCGATTTCCCCTGACTTATCTCTTCTTTTTTTTTTTTACAACAACTGATTTCCATACAGATTCCAAAATTGTTAAGGATTTGTTCTATTATCCTGGACAACCATCCATGAGTAGTATAAAGTGATTGAGGTACCTTAGCTATTCTAACTCATTTGTTCCAAAATTTTTAATACTGTTAAATGATGTTATAAATAAAAATAAAAAATTATTAGATTTTTATAAAAGTTTATTAGGTAGAATTTGGGACTATTGTATACTACTTTACTATTTTTAGAAAATTAAATTGAATTTTATATTATTTGATTTAAAATTTGAATTATTTCACCAAAAAATATATTTCTTGCTGATAAAACTAATAAAAAAGTATTTAATTGCATTTGAATAAATTATTTCATTCTGATTAAAAAGATTAGTAGTAATCAAATTTCAATTTTAATCCTTATATTCTCCTTGTGAAAAGTTATTCAAATTAAAAGTAGTACCATTTTGAAACAATGGAAGTAGTTATTTGAAGTGAAAAATACTGAATATATTTATAAAAAATAGTTCTTTTATTTAATATAATTATTTTAAACTGTAATTTCTATTATGGTTTAATTGTTGACTTAGAAATAATGTTCCTGAAGTTTTAGTTACCCGTGTTAAGTTCAACTGTTTTTAAAACTGCAGTGGCATTTCTGTACATATCTTAGGATGACTAAAATTGACCACAGTACTAAAAACTTCCATTATGCTCTTTTCAAAATTATTTCTCAAACAAAAGGATCTTAATTTTGCCATTTATATATTTCATATTTAAATGAATAGTTTATTTTGTAGATCTTAGTTAATGAATTTGTTGCACACAATATTGACTGCAGTCTTGATTATTTTATGAATGTATTATTTTAATTTTATTTCTCATAAATCTCTTATTTTTCTCTGTAATTTCCTGTCTGATATTGAAGGTTTGTAGAGATAATCTTGGTATGTGGTCAATTGTTCTTAAAATAATCTCTCAACAAATTTATATGTAGCTGATTATTTTAATTAACTTAATACTATTTTTTAAGAATTTATTACATTACAACCCTTTATTATATTTCAGTAGTATTACACAACATGAATAAATTTTTCCCCTCACATAATTCTGCAGTAACTGGAAATCGTGTGCTGTTTGATTTGAAGTTAACTTATTTTAACTTTTATCAAAGTATCTTGCAAAATTATAGTTGTCAATTTGATAAACATTAGAAATTTTTTTTAAAGAAATGTGTAAAACTTAATTTACTAATGCATTTGGATTTGTTTGGTGTTGAAAAAGAAGAAAATGTTTGCTTATCTTAATCTTGCGTTCCTTCTGCATTGATTGATTCAGTTGTAACCTGTTAGTATTGATAACTTATGAAGTTATTTTTTCATCAATGGTAAAAAAAAAAAAAAAAATTTGTAAATTAGTGATTTATATGACAAAGTACATGTCCAAATATTTGACAGGCGATAAAGTCTTGTATTCTGTTTAACCTGGTATTTGGTAAGAGGGTGAATTACATACTATTCTGTGCAACCTATTAAAGTTTGAAAAAGTTTAATTTTTGTATTCCTTGTTTAAGGTTGCTATTTCCTTTTAATTTCTTGCTAGAGTTTCAGATTACTTTTCATTAACAACTTTTGTATTTGTGATTGACTTTAGGGTATGATTCCTAGTGAGAATGCTGAGCCTGCAGAAGAATCACAGGGTGAAAGTCAGCCTAGTACTATCCAAATTCCTGCTGGTAATGAAGGTATGTTTTGCTTTTAACATTTCCAATGATTTTTAAACTTTATTAATATTTCTTTTTCTTTGCATTGAAAAAAAAAATTTTAAGATGTATAAAATTTAGTATATATATAAAAATGTTTCCATTTAATTGTTGTCCCGCAGTGGACTGATCGTTAAGACACGGTTCCCAGCAGATCACCGAAGTCAAGCATCATTGGCTTCGGTCAGTGTGCGGGTGGGTGACCACTTGTATCAGTGTGCGTAGGGACCGAGGGTGTGCTCTATTGGTCCTCGTTAAACTGTTCTACCTTAAAGTGCTCAACTTCGTGTGCAGGTCGTCGAGCTACTGAAGCGGGGGTGCCATCCCCTCCGCAGAGGATCAAAATTGTGATGGCATGTCTTCGGATCATCCTCTGGGATGTTTCCCAGACCGTCGCCAATAGCCCATTGTGCAGCTCTAGTGCTACGTAAATTAACAACATTTAATTGTTTCAAAAAAAGATTATTTTCTGAAATAAAAGTTTACGTTTATACCTAGAAAAATTATGTATAATTAAGCTTTCCTGCATCTTTTAATTAAAAAATCAATTATCTAAAAGAATCATATTAAAATATTTTTAATTTAAAAATTATTTCTTTAAGAAAAAATTTCAACTGGTTAAGTTTTTCAATGCTAATTCATTTTTTAAAAATTTTAGATTGTAATTTTGTTTTCAATAAACTGATATTATTTAACAATAAAATATAGAGATTTAAATTGTCATACTAAAATTATAATAATTAAATTATAAGCAAAATACTGTAAAGCAACCAATATGTGAAGTAAAAAAATGTAACATTTATATTTGAGAGCTTGCAAGTTTTATTCAAAATAAAAACAAATTGAAAATGCATTTTAAAATGTTCATGAATAATTACGAAATTTTCTATTCGAATGTTTAAAAAGCTTGAAAGTTGTGTATGCCCCCAATCCAATATTTTTAAAAAAAATTATGTAATTAATCATTAATTTGAAAGAGATTTCATAATTAGTGAATAAAAATCGAAAGTTTTTTTTGGTTTTCTAAGGAAATTATAATTAAGTTATATAATTTTGTGATTCGGTATGTAAACATGATATCTGTATTANGCATACCATGCACCTTTTTTTACCCCTCCTGAAATCTCCTGAATTCTTGTTAGGGAAACTCCTGAATGTTAATTTTGCTAGGTTGGCACGTCTGCTAATGAGTACTAGACAACAAAATTTGATTATCAAAATTAATATTCTATTTGCAATTGTGAATACTGTGTGTGATTTGTAGTATTATACAATATATCGTGTTTTCACAATATTTAAAAAGTTGTTTAAAATTTTAATACAGTATGACCTCGAAAATCCGGAAATCTCTAAAATCCGGACTCATACGTCCAGTTCCTCAGAAAAAAATTTCAAAAGAAAAAAATTTAAAAAAATCGCTTAGAATAAAAATTTTAATGCAAAACCACAACTCTTCTCCAACAATGACGCAGTAGATGAAGAGGTAGACGTGGGGTGTGAATGAAAGCTCATAGCTGATAAGGAAATTCCAGTCATACTTATCAGCTCTGTATGGATAACAAAGAATATAAAGGGAAATCCCCTCCTCCTGAAGGGGAATCCCACAACTCTTTTGCAACAATGAAGCAGTAGATGAAGAGGTAGAGGTGGGGAATGAATGAAAGCTCATAGCAGATAAGGAAATTCCAGTCATTCTTATCAGTTCTGTATAAATAACAAAGAATACAAAAGGGAATCCCCTCAGAAGGAGGAATTCTTCCATCTCCTTGTTTTCCCTCCTTGTGATGAAAGAAAACTGGTTCTTTCTTAACCTTGAAGATTAGGAAGCAGGGACAAGTTCTTTCATCCCCCAACAAAAAAGGATTAGTATCAGCTGGTACAGTCTAGTCTAGAAGCATCTGTTTCGGTTATAAGTTGAAATTCAGCTCGCGTTTTAAGCATATATTTTTAGTTTTAATTGCTAATATTATGTTATCTAAACGATCGATTGTGGGGGAAATATGACGAAAGTTTGATTTTTAATGTCTTTTATTTATTATTTAAAGAGTATATTTATGTTAAAATTGACGTCGGAGGTCTACACACGCGTGATTAATCGCGAAATCGGCCTGGCAAATTCGAAACTTCGATAATTCTATCAATTCAAGTAAGGTATCTAAAATTCGGAAATCCGTACCTTCCAAACTCCCCAGCAGTCCGGATTTTCGAGGTTGCACTGTATTGATATTTCTTTACCAAGAGTTTTTCTATTTTTTCCACTTTGGTTGGGGGGGAAAAATTTCTTTAAGGGGGAGAACTGTGGAGGTGGCTTACCATCCCTGATTGTGCCCAAATTAAAATCATTGATTTTTCAAATTTCATCTTATTTATGAAGGACAATTATATATTCTTTATCTTTAAAAAATAGTTCTGTTCATAGACAATTAAGCAAATATTACAGAATTGCTATTGTGTGAATTAAAATAAGCTATTATTTTTTCTTGATAGTTATGCTTAATTTTTCTTTTAATATTTTTAAAGTATAATATGCTACACTCAATGTAATGTGTAGTGGGGGAAAAAATTGGTTTTTAATAGTTGCTTAAAAAAATTAAAGATAGTTTTATATTTTTAATTTTATTAGCAGTTTTCAGATATTTCTTATTATAGTTATACTATAAGAAAAATGTTTAAGTAAAGCATTGTTAATTGTAACAGATATTAAATTTCATTTCAGCTGAACCTTTAGCATTTCTTAGAACTCAACCCCAGTTTCAGCAAATGCGTCAAGTGATACAACATAATCCTCAGTTACTAAATGTTGTACTGCAGCAAATAGGACAAAACAATCCACAACTACTATTATTAATATCTCAAAATCAAGAGGCCTTTGTACGAATGTTAAATGAGCCTGCTGCGAGTGGTGGGCAATCTAGCAATACTGCTGCTCCTGCAAGTGGGGGTGGTGGAGGAGGAGGAAGTGGTAGTGCTGCTGCTGCAACTGCTGCTGCTGCTGCTCTTAGTGGAGCTGGCGGAATAACTTTTGAACCTACCATTGGTGGTGGCCAAGTAGCTTCAGTTCAAGTTTCTCCGCAAGATAGAGAAGCCATTGAAAGAGTAAGAAGATGGTTTAGTGTTCCTTACATTTTCATGAAATTCTCTTGTCTGTGTATTATAGTATTGTGTATGCTATTTAAAGGTTGTATTGAAATCCTATTGTTTAATAGACTAAAAATATGTTCTTTACGTTAAGGATGCATAATTTTTTATGGGTTTTACTTTTTATTTAATTCTTAAAAGCTTTTCCATTCTATGTTCACAATCTACGAAAAATTATTCTTTTTCCAACTATTGCAGTATTTCACAATTTTTTTCTTCTGTTGAATAAAACAGAACAAAAAGCACATAATTAAGAAGAGGAGTTATAAAATTTTCTTTAATTAATATAAGTCTAATTTTAAATAAATATATTTTTTAACCTTTTTTCCCCTATAATTTGTCATATTTGTAATATTTTTTTTAAAAAAATAGTCCATTTTCGACATTGCAAAGAAAAGGGATTTTTCAAAAGATAAACGTTTTTCATTTTATGTAGCTTTTCTACTATTTATTTTAAAATATTTTTTATAATTAATGTAAGGTTAATAAAGGATATATTTAAATGTTTATGCATGTACAAGTGGATTACAACCTAGAAACATTTAAAAAAATCTTTCATGAGCCTTTTTGAAATTTTAAATGTTTTAATTTTTTATTACATTTAACTAGTAAGTTGTCCTGTTTTAACATCTACATACATATTTCTTCAATCTTTCTGTACCTCTTTTTAAATTATTTCCGGCTGTAGCCACTCATATAAAGGAAGTCTATATGAGTAAAATAAAATCATGTACATGTTTGGTGAACTTAGGTCGTTTAGGTCTCTTTAATAAATAGGTATCTTGTGAAAACCGGAGAAAAGAAACCTTAGTTGAAACGAGAGTGTAATTTATTCTCTAGTTTATATCTGGTAGAGACTGGGGTGCAGGTGCCTAATCCTTCATAGCAATGTACATCATGCTAATCAGGCATATTCTTGAATATGAATTTCCAGTACCTCTCCTTCCGAACTTCTTAAATTAGATCATGTTCAATCAAGTGCAGCTGCATCATCACAGGCTTAAGAAACAGCTGCCTGAATGCTGTAGCGCTTAATAAGAATGATTTACCTCCCTTAAGTCTTCTAAGAGAATCAAACGTGGTAAAATACTTCAAACTAAAGTGATGAAAATCAAAATTGAACCTCTGCCTATTTATCTGAATGAAAAAACAGTCAAAGATTAAAAAAGAGCAGCCCTTTCGGTCAGAGGTATAATATAAAGGTCTTTAACAATCCTGTTGAATTTTCTTCTCTGAAGCCATATGTGTGTCTGCTTGAATGCTGATCACAATTTTTCTTTCATTTTGAGCTTTGGTATGTATTTGAGCTAATGCTTCTGGTGACATCTGGATCCTGACTTACAGTTGCAGTTCCTTACAAAACTTAAAGGATTAGAATCTGGTTACTAAGCGTGTAGGCACAGAAATAATCAAATTGAAATACCGCACCAAAACTGGAGTTGTCCTCTTACAATGGATCTCGTCACGTGTTGGTATGCCTGGTAATGAAGTCGCAGATAGCCTGGCTAAAAGGGGCACCATCTGACTACCTCATTATCTATCAAGATATTTTCTCTCTGAAGAAAAACTTCAATAAGCAACTAAGGTTAAAACCTCCTGTTCGCCACTGGTTTGACAGAAAAAAACCCTGGTGGTTCTCTAGAGTTCAAGGGTCAGTTTCATAATCCATCAATGCCCATTTAAAATAGAATTAAGGCTCAAAATCTTCTCAACATGTAGCAAGTAAAAATTGAAACCTGCTTCCCTGTCACACATCATTGATTGTCTGGAATTTTCCTTTGAGGACATTCTCTTTTGACCAATTTTGGTCTGTGACTTTGCCAAAGAGTTTGGACTCATGGGTTTGATATAGCTGAGGCTATATTGTGAAAGATTAGAAACAACAGCAAAACTTCTCATGAATGTTGCTAAATGCAAATTGGGGGGAAAACTTTTTATATCCAGTGCTTAGTTATATATATATCCCTATTAAAAGTCTGGCATAAATTATCTCAGAAATCTAAATTTATAGTGGCCCATTGGTTTTCAAAAAAGAAAAAAAGTATTTTGGAAAAGACATGTAAACAGACCAGTGACTAAATTTTTTTTTTCTACCCCTGTAATTATGTATTGTAAATTAATCAACTAAAATGAAAATTTTCTGCAGTGAACTTAGGTCGTTTAGGTCTCTTTAATAAATAGGTATCTTGTGAAAACCGGAGAAAAGAAACCTTAGTTGAAACGAGAGTGTAATTTATTCTCTAGTTTATATCTGGTAGAGACTGGGGTGCAGGTGCCTAATCCTTCATAGCAATGTACATCATGCTAATCAGGCATATTCTTGAATATGAATTTCCAGTACCTCTCCTTCCGAACTTCTTAAATTAGATCATGTTCAATCAAGTGCAGCTGCATCATCACAGGCTTAAGAAACAGCTGCCTGAATGCTGTAGCGCTTAATAAGAATGATTTACCTCCCTTAAGTCTTCTAAGAGAATCAAACGTGGTAAAATACTTCAAACTAAAGTGATGAAAATCAAAATTGAACCTCTGCCTATTTATCTGAATGAAAAAACAGTCAAAGATTAAAAAAGAGCAGCCCTTTCGGTCAGAGGTATAATATAAAGGTCTTTAACAATCCTGTTGAATTTTCTTCTCTGAAGCCATATGTGTGTCTGCTTGAATGCTGATCACAATTTTTCTTTCATTTTGAGCTTTGGTATGTATTTGAGCTAATGCTTCTGGTGACATCTGGATCCTGACTTACAGTTGCAGTTCCTTACAAAACTTAAAGGATTAGAATCTGGTTACTAAGCGTGTAGGCACAGAAATAATCAAATTGAAATACCGCACCAAAACTGGAGTTGTCCTCTTACAATGGATCTCGTCACATGTTGGTATGCCTGGTAATGAAGTCGCAGATAGCCTGGCTAAAAGGGGCACCATCTGACTACCTCATTATCTATCAAGATATTTTCTCTCTGAAGAAAAACTTCAATAGGCAACTAAGGTTAAAACCTCCTGTTCGCCACTGGTTTGACAGAAAAAAACCCTGGTGGTTCTCTAGAGTTCAAGGGTCAGTTTCATAATCCATCAATGCCCATTTAAAATAGAATTAAGGCTCAAAATCTTCTCAACATGTAGCAAGTAAAAATTGAAACCTGCTTCCCTGTCACACATCATTGATTGTCTGGAATTTTCCTTTGAGGACATTCTCTTTTGACCAATTTTGGTCTGTGACTTTGCCAAAGAGTTTGGACTCATGGGTTTGATATAGCTGAGGCTATATTGTGAAAGATTAGAAACAACAGCAAAACTTCTCATGAATGTTGCTAAATGCAAATTGGGGGGAAAACTTTTTATATCCAGTGCTTAGTTATATATATATCCCTATTAAAAGTCTGGCATAAATTATCTCAGAAATCTAAATTTATAGTGGCCCATTGGTTTTTGGAAAAGACATGTAAACAGACCAGTGACTAAATTTTTTTTTCTTTCTACCCCTGTAATTATGTATTGTAAATTAATCAACTAAAATGAAAATTTTCTGCAGTTTCTGAAAATTAAAATTTTGTTAATTGATGTAAAATTATAATTTTTCCTAATTTGTTTTTCAGTTAAAAGCCTTGGGATTTCCTGAATACATGGTAATTCAAGCTTATTATGCCTGTGACAAGAATGAAAATCTTGCTGCTAACTTCCTTTTGTCTCAAAACTTTGATGATTGATCTATATTACTTAATGTATTAACATCCAGCAGAATGAACATTGTTTTATACTTCTGTTATCTACTATTAAGTTGATGCATCTAGAACCTTTGAAAAAATTTACCAAATTATTATTATTAAACAAATTATTTTAATTTTGATGAAAATATTTTAAACTTGAAGATAGAGTACATTGGATCATTATATGATTGAATGCATATGTACATATTTCGTTTCTCGTTAAACATTATGTTAATTGATTTCATTACATAAAAAAATATTTTTTTGCTAACTGAAATAAAGTTTTGTTCTCGAATTTGCAAGCTCTGATACATTTTATTCAGACATTTTCAGCTTGCTTACTGCAATAAACTTGTTTTAAAGAAATTTCGTCTATGATTTCATTCTTAAAAAAAACTAATATTCTTGTTTGAATGTTAAGTACATAAATATTTGAGACGGTTTCAAGAAACTCTTTAAGAATAGTGGGTGGTCATTCCAGGGTCACTGAAAGTTTCTTTGTTGAAAAGAAACATTTACATTTCAATAGGGCAGTCAGTGCTGCACACTTTGCATTTTATTTCAAGAAAGGTCTTGAAATCAAAGCAATTTTATTTCAAAATAACATAGATATTCTGAAAGAGTTTGATGAATGTGCTGAACTGATTAGAGTGAAATTAGCAAAATAATTTTGTATTCCTGGTTCTCCTTTAAAAATTATTATCTATAAACGCAACAAATTAATTCAATCAATTTTTTTGTGTGTGCTATCAGCCTGCGAGACAAAATTATTTTTTTATTTTGAACTTAAATGTTTTAGCTTTATCGAAGGAATAAATTTCTGTACTCTAGATGTGAATTAAAGGCATATATTTTTTTTTTATAAAAAAAAACTACGATACTTAAATACTGTATAATATTAAAAATATAACTTTTTAAAAAATTTGATTTATAGAGAGGTATTAGTCCGATTTGGCTCTAATTTTGTACTTTTAAGATTCAAAATTTTTTCAGCTACTATTAAATAAAATAAATTTTTTTAAATATTTACCATAATTTATTTTTTGCATAAAATTTTCTCTAAACTAAACTTTGTAACTGTGTGCAAATATTTTTCAATTGGCATAAAAAGTTCTCGAGATATGGTGAAATGCGCAAAAAGAAATATTAACATTAGGTGGCTCAAATTGGGACCAAATTTTTTCAGATTCCGGCCATTCCTTATATTTTAGAGATCAGAAATTTTAATCCGTTGATAAAAAAGGTATGTTTATTCAGAGAAAATATCGTCTGACCTATTTTATTAGCATATTTGAAATCAACCCCTCGAACCATTAAAAACCTTGAACGTGGAAGTCTGATTATTAGTTCAAAGGTAAGTTTTTTTTCTACGAAACTAGCACTTTCTATTTCATGGCCCGGGATGGCTTGGCTGGTAGGGCGTGAGTTCAAAACATTTAGATTTGAATGTCTTATTAATAACGGTATATAAAATTTTAAAAGAATTCGTTTTGCCTACAACCACAAATCAATAATTTCAAATTATGTGTGTTATCATTATTTAGACATCTAAGATTTTGAGCGTTGAAGTAGCTTAATTTTTCGGAAACATTCTACCGCCTAGACTTTTCTCCGACTTATGTGTATGTTGGCATCCTTTAACTCTTCAAAATCCTGAAATGTCGGAGGACATACGTGGCAGCAGGAAAGTCATCAATCTACTGAACATGGGTGCCACTCTTCAGTCCTGGGGACTGAAATCAGTCTNTTCATCTTCTTTACTCGACGGCTTAAATCAGATTTCTGATGCATCGCCTGGAACGAAAGTCGCTGTATCGGCCTGCCGATACAGGCGTTAAATCGATAAGTCGCGATATATCGATTTATAGTCCAGTCCTAGTTACAAACCACTAGAAATGTAAAACAAATCCACAATCTTTTGAACAGCAAAGAGCTAAAGCATGTCGCTTCAGTTAGAATGTTCTGCCTCTGACTAAAATTTTCAATCGAAATTTCTTGCTCCGCAAAGGGTTTAACGAATGAGTCATACCATTTTTTTCTTCATTAAAGCACTTACAACAACGATTGTGGGTTAAACCCTTTTGCGCAATATTTGAATATAAAGGCAGAAAAGACTAATTCGCGATCATAACGCTCGAATACGCCATTTGAGGAGAAGATCGGTGTCTTGACCCTTCCCTCTCCTCCTCTTCTAAACATTTTTCGTGTCCCGTTGTAAAGACACAATTCTCAGTAAAACACCGAAGTCAAACATTACTGGCTGCGGTCCGCAACCGGATAGGTGACCACTTTGATCAGCCTGCGTAGGGACCGAGGGTGTGCGGTATCGGTCCTCGTTAAACAGTCTTATCGTAAAGTGCTCGACTTCGCTCGCAGATCGTCGGGCTACCATAACAGGGGAACCATCACCACTACAGAGGATCAAAATTGCGATGGCATGTCTTCAGATCATTCTTATGGAGGTTTCCCAGACCGTCGCCAATAGCTCAAGTGCGACGTAAATAAAGTACCTACCTACCTGATATTTTTCACATATAATTATCAAAAGTATTTTTTAAATTTTCTACGATTGTTTCTTTGATATCTATGCTAAATGTAGTTTTCAGCTCCATATAGTTTACAAACTTAGAAGGTTTCGATCTATTTGAAAATCAAGACAGAATCTAATGTACTTTCTTCTTCTTTGTCAGTTCTCGCGCAAATGGTGAAAGCATGTGAAGTGTTGCCATAAGTAGAGTATTCTGCTTTACGCCACCTATAGCCCGTTTCGATCACCAATAAATGATAAACGTTCAGTCTCATGGATAGATGGAGCAATTTTGGCAATGTATTCAAGAATTTGCTAATTCTGCTATCCTTAGTTACCAAACACCTAATTAACAACTTTCATTAATGGTAGATGCCTCTGGTACCTCTATTAGGGCTGTTTCAAATACAAATACTCCTGGTGGACCAAATCCCCTCAGCTTTTTCACCCTCAAGCTCTCATTAACTGAAAGAATATAGCACATATGATCGCGAATTACTAGTCGTTTACGTAACTATCGAGCCCATCCGACATAATCTCGAAGCTCAAAATTTCGTAATTTTTACAGATCAAGTAATCATCGTCCCTCGATTTGCGTATTTAAAAAGAACTTAAATTCAAGCTCATTATGCCAACTTCGACACCTAGATTTCATTGCTCACTTGAGCACTGATATACGGCATGTTGCCGGTTCTGACAACATAGTAGCAGACACACTTTCATGCGTAAGCTCCATTGATCTACCTCCACTTGATTTCCTAGGCACCGCTGATGTCCAAAGGAATGATGAAGAGTTGCTGAGACTACTCAACGAATGTAGAGACTCTAATACAACCTTACAGCTGCAGCCTATGAAATCAGATGGCCCACATCCAATACATTGTGACATTAACACAACAGCCACCCTTATGTGCAGTTCACCCTTATATGCCGAAAGACTTTAGACGAAGGTTTTTCACAATTTTTCACATCCCGATATTCATTCATCCAAGAAACTCGTTCTCTCACTGTTCATATGGCCATCTATAGCCAAAGCAAAGATGTTATGGAATGGACTCAATCATGTATAAGCTACCAGAAGAACAAAGACACCCGTTACTCCCAATCTGCTCTACAATCTTTCCCACTACCCTCTCAACGGTTCAACCATGTGTATATAGACCTTGTTGAACCACTTCCACTTTCTACTGGAAGCGAGTACCTTTTAACTTTCATGAATAGATTCACACGATGGCTAGAAACTATCCGGATATTACAGCAGAAACAGTAGCACGAGTGCTCGTCAGACAATGGTTTTCCAGGCATGATATACTTTCCATCATTACGATTCACGACAAACCCATCAATTAGAGAGCAACCAGTTTCATCAACTGTCACGAATGATTGGCGAGAATAACTGATTGCACCCTCATCGCTCTCGCTGGACGCCTAGTAGATTATTGGAACAGTGACTTAAGTCAGTGTGTCGAGAGAGGGGCAGACTCGGCCTTCCCGGTGTTCACAAGTGGAAGTGTGACTTGTGCGTCACGGTATTAGAGGAAAGTACTAGGCTTTCAATGACGGTTTGATTCTAAAGGACCCTAGAACGTCAGTACGAAATGAGCGATGCGAAGGGTAGAGCAGGCCTCCTGAGCTCGGTGAAAAGGGAAGCCAGTGCGCGATGACGGCCAACCAGGGAGGCATTTTGGTTTGCAGTACAAAATGCGGCATTCCCGACGCGGTGGCTAGTGAAATCCTCCAAGAACGTGGGTCCAAATGGGAGCCAGTGCATTTTCGGTCCCTAAGTCGGACTATGACTGACGCCAGCCAAAAAGGTAGAGCCCAAGCAAAGGGGGTGAAAAACTACCTCTCCAAGGTGGATGCCTCAGAGAAACGAATGGAGTGGACCAGCTGTCCAGTAGACGTGCTGACGCTCACTTCGACACAGTGAAAATGGACGGGACTGCCAGTAGTCGTTAAAGGCAGCGTTGATAATACCGAGCCCGTCAGCCCGGTATGGTTAGTGCAGATGCGGCGTAGTTCGAGCACCCCCTTGAAACGAGGGGGTGGGACATTTCATGCTGGCGTCCTCACACGGCTTAAGAGCTGTCTCGAATGATTGGAACTACTAGAGCGGGTACCACCAACGCCTCCTGTAACTGAAAGCCTCCACATGGTTTTTTATGGGTAGTCCGATCAGACCACTGTGTGGGATATCCATTTACTGAACGAGTCATTTAATACAGAATATAGTTAAAATAAGAAAGTGGTAGCAAATATATGACTGAAAATTTATTCTATTTATGAATATTATTGGTTTGCCTTCTTCACTTGTCAACCACTACAGATTCAATTCTCAAATATATAAGATAAATTTCTCTCAATTACTTTATAAAAGGTTTTAGGTTCATGCGCACAACTGGTTCACTTCTTTAACAGTCTGCGCGGACTACTTATAAAAGACCATGTGGAGGCTTCTTGATGTAGGAGGTGACAGTACCACACTATACCGTCCTTCCAGCAATGGACTTTTTGAATGGCTTCCACAGAGTCTTGAAACAAGGTCAGAAATTTCATTCTAATGTAAAATGGTCTGAATCTCTTGCACTTGTTCTTTTCGGTCTCATATCTGCTTTAAAAGACCTCGGATGCACAGGTACGGAACTCGTCCATGGAACCCCTTGCGATTTTTTTTGCTACTGTATAGGCAATGCGTCCCCCCAGATCACGAAGTAATCGGAAATCAACATCGTAAGAGGTTCCGAGGGATGGAGAGCGAAAGCGAGCATTTTTTAGAAAATGTAATACGTTTATTATCATTATTACTGCATATTTCTAATGGGTAAGATTTTTTTATTTTCCTTATTATTATGTTGATCCACCAAAACTTGGTGAAAAAATGTATGCTTTTCACTAGAAAAGTCAAACTAAAAATTTCAAATCAAGTCCTTTTTTTTAAAACTACTCTCTCGGAATAGCTGGCGGTGATTGTATAATACGCACTGCACTGAGTCAAATGTATATACTTTTTTAGTCTAATTTCTTAGTTTTCAGTTGTCAAGATTTTTATTCAAATCTGTAGAATTTGATTTAAATTGGAAAATACTTGTCTATTTAAAATATTTTAAGACTTTCAAATAGATGGAAAACCACTTTTTTCATTAATTAAACATAAATAATACTCACCCATTTTGTCTGAAACTCGTATAAACAATCATTTAAGAAACTTAAGTGTTTTAACCCTCAGCTCAAGACGGTTAGATGGACAAGCGAACGTTAATCGTTTAACACAAAGACAGTCATGAAGCCACGTAGAACATTAACAAACTAATTACGCATCGAAGTTGCCAGGTACACAATATATATATATATATCACGGTTACAATAAAATTTCAATTAACTTCAGGTTAATTAACATTCTAACTTATGTGGGGAAACTTAGCTCAACTTTAACACGCTATTTTGCTCATAAACAATCAGCTGGCGCTGACGTCATATGCCACATGTGTGGGTATCCGTGATCTTCTTCTTGAAGTGCATGCACCCAATTCAAATAATTTAACTATTCAATTTTTATAGATAGCATAATGTTAAATAATTAATACTTACATGAATTGTGGCATCTTACATTAAAAAAAAGGAAATAAATATTTTCTTAACTTACCAAAAAAGGGATTAGACGGATCGAAAAGTTTTTTTACCATTGTGAACAAGTAACTCTTTTGTACTAACTCATATGACCAAAAAATATGGTTATCCTGGTGATCTCATATGAAGTCGAAAGTTGTGCTTCTCTGAGGTTTCCTACAAACAATTCTTAAGGAAAATATCCCCCCCCCCCTCAGAAANGCGAATCCGCGGAAGAATCACATCCCTGATTATTTCTTATTTTAATTTCATTGGGAGAAACAAAAAAATCCGTACTCGCCATATTTTGTTAATGAAGTACAGGGGTTGATCAAAATAATAGAAATTCTTCTATACTAAGTCAATGCAAAAAAATATTATGTTTGGGGCAAATTTTACCTGACAAAGCTGTTCGCTTAATTTAATAGATCATGCTGGTAACCCCATGCAAAATTTGCATTGACCATAATAAGTTTAGACCAAAAGATTAGGAAATTAAAAGCCGATTTCCTTTTTCAATACCACTAAAATTAAAAAAAAAAACATTGTTAAATAAATTTTGAAATCATAATGAATGAATTGCAAAATCGCTGGTTTTAAAGCTGAAAAGAAGTAATTAACTTTTAATGCTCACTTTGGTCAATTCGAACTTAGCAAGTGTAAAAATGACATTTAGTAAAAGCTTCAAGCATGAGCTTTCATATTGAGCCAACAATTTCGCCATTTAAAACCTCTCATAACATTAGTTGCAAAAAGAAAAATTGTTTCGAGTTAGTATAGAAGTTTACCCCTATAAGTAGTTGCATTTTGATCTGAAATCAATGCAAATGCAAAATTTTTAAAAACTAAATCAACCACATCTTTGTGCAATCTTAAAAGTTTAATAATTAAAATAAATATTCGACAAGAAAACATCCAGATTTTTGGATCAGGGAGACAAACATAAATAAGTTTTAGAAACGTTATATTTCACAAGATGCTGTTGTAACCAGGGAGGAGACCTGTCAGGAGAGATAAAAACTGATATTAAAACTATTGCATTTTCAGCTGGGTTTCGTGAGGGGTATAAAAAATCTTACTATTCTTAATTAAAAACTCATCACTAATTACTTCTTCATGGTTCTTTTACATTACGAGCTCCTTTCGTTTGTATATGTGTAAATAACAAGGTAAATTTAAAACTTAGATTTGTTTAAATAATTACACCTTGGCTATAAGCCATCACCTCCTATCTTAGCCTCTACACTGTTTCTGAAAGGTAGTCCGATCAGGGCACTATGCAACTAAATTATTTTACACAATAGTCATTTAATAGAAAATTTTTTATCTTAAAATCTGCTTAGTTAATGAATATAATTGGTTTGCTTTAATTCCTTGTTAACCAGAACATATCAATTCCTCAACTACGTGAATATTAAATTAAGCTAAATTTCTTCTAAGTACTCAGTTTATGCAGACTACTTGCAAAAAATCGTGGGGAGACTTTCAGATGTAGGAAATAATGTATGAGCCCAGTTAACTTAGCCACCTAACAGAATGAAAAGACCATGTGTTACAGAAAGCAGAAGACTAGTGTTGGCAAGGAAATGGGGAAAATGCCTCTAACAGAAAGAGAAGCAATCTTAAACATGTGATAGATATAACTGCATGTAGGTTATTATGCAGTCATATGATCAATTACGCTTGAGGAATAAATTGCAAAGGAAATTATATTCTTAACTATGAGACACAATAAAAAACATCAGAATATTTTAAATGGAAATGAAAGCAAGTTTTTTTCAAATAAAATTTTATTAGCAAAAGTACACTGTATTTAATATATATATTTAGCAGTAAAGTTTATGAAAATATTAAAATGAATGCTATTCAAGAACTTACTCTATCACTTGAAACTCTTAAATAAACTACAAGTCACTTACTGCACATTGGCACACTTAACATAATTATTTTCAATACTTGAATTGTAACTCTATCATTGCGTTTTTCTACTTTCCATCTTAACTCTGGTTGCTTGTTAGCATCCTGAAAAGCAAAAAATATTATTAATCAATGAAAGGTATTGGCAGTACCAACTTGTTGCATACCATTTTATGTTAAGCAGAATTTAAATTTTTTCAAATTAATTTTCATTAAAAACCAATGCAATCTTTAAATAAAAGTAAAGAAATAACCTAACTAAAATTATCAAGTCTTATTAAACAATAGAATTTCTTAATTAACTTTTAATCAAATTAAATTTTTTTATGGGAAAATACAATTTTTTCTTAATAATTGCTGTTAATCTAAAATGCTCAAGTTGCATATGTTACTTATTTCTAATTAAATTTTTTTTTACATATAAGTAACATACATACCATTGAATTCTTATTGATAATGGTTTTATCCCCCCGTTAGAGAAGCATTATGCTTAAATGAAGAATGCACCTGCCGTTATTAGATTTGGAAAATTATCACCAGAGTTTGAACTTGAAAAGGCAAATGATATGGAAATTTTGGTTTTAATTCTTCAAATTATTGCCAAATCAATTGCTAATTGCATTTTATTTCTTCTAGTCTGTTAAAAAAAAAAAAAAAAAAAAAAAAANTCGTTTAAAAAAAAAAAAAAAAAGACACTGAAATGTAGAAGTTTTAGGTCCCAAGGAGCTTTCTTAAATCTAGCGAAATTACTGGGGATTATTATAATGCATTAGAACTCATACGCTAACTTATTGCATGTTTACTTATTGTATACAATAAGTTAGTGCAAGAGTACAGTAGTTAACTTATTGCAAGTTAGTAGTGGTTAAGCACCCCCATACAGTTAAAATTCTTTCAGAATATTACAAATGTACACAAATCTAAAAGATTTGAGGATAAGGCCTAATACGTATACGAAACTTTTAGTGTATTATTAAATCAGCTTAGTTCATATGGACCCTTTAATAGTGGTAGTAATTTTATAATCATGCTAGCAGAAATGTTCTTTATTAAGATACTACTATAATTCTTGCAATTTAAATTCAGAGGATTTGCCCAAACAATTACAAACAGAGGATTAACAATTACAATTACAGGAGAAACAATTACAGAGGATTACAAAGGTATATTTTACATGAAATATAACAGGTAGTAGTTTTTAGAAACAGATAAGAATATTGATGTTGTATTCACTTTTATCACTAATTTTTAACATTTATAATGCCTGGTAAAATCCTGTGGATAGTATCAGTAATATATAACCTTGCAAAACATATATGAATACTACTATATGAATTGTCATAAATTATTATAAAAGTGTTACTCAAATATAACATTTTGTTTCCTTTAAATTTCCAGAGCATGCCTCATCTTAACACTTTCGAGCCTAACAAGATTTTTTTGAAATTTGCTTGGGACGTGTGTGTCATGCGTCCCAAGCAAATTTCAAAAAAATCTTTTGGGACAGAAACGCTTCTCTGTCTAATGGAAGACTTTCCCACCAGTCCTGCCAATATTTTTGAAGGCATTTTCATTCACAGAACATAGATGGCACTACCGTCCATAATTCTGCCCTACTTATAGTTTATGCTACCAAAATTGTTCTGTTGTAAAAAAAACTCGTCGCGAAAGGGTTAAAACAAAAATTTGAAAACACCTTAAGAGACACAATAGCTAAGGTTTATAAAATTTAACCTACAAAAGAAAATTGTATTTAAACTAATATTTTTCTTAATTCAAAGTACTGTTTATAAATCAGGGCCACATACAGGTTGATTTTACTAGTGTTTATTTGTAACAAAAAGCGTAATTATATTAGCAATCTCGACAACCCCACAAAAAATAAAATAAAAATGGTAGTTCTTAATAAATGCGGTAAAGTAAGTAACTCTTTTGCAAAAAAATAATTCAATAGTGCATATTTCGTAAGTTCCATGAACATGTGTGCAAGTTTAATGACATTTAAACTGACTTATTCTTATCACGATTTAAAAACCAACCACACTATGATTCAGGATGAAACAGAAATTGAAGAGCATTCCACCTACAAAATCATTAAATTTTCATTTAATGGCCCTCTATAGCTGTCAGATGATCAAGTAGATTAAATTATCACAAGGCGCGAAACTTCTTCAAATTGCAGGATAACCATTGAGAAATTTTTCAAACAATTTTCTACCTACATGAACTATTTTGTATATTATTAATTTTTTTTATTTGCAAAAAAAAAAATCAAGAAAAGCATTCAAAAAATATAAATTTAATATAACACTAAATATATATCAATATTAAATGTAAATAGTAAGTGTCATGACAAATAAGTATTTGTGATAAAGAGTTGTAAACGAGTATCTTAATATTTTTTATTTTAATACTAAGGAAAATAGCTCCTTCAAAATTAATGCTTTTTAAATATTTGAACAGAAAATGGTGATACACTACAGTTTTTTTTTACAAAAATAAAATGTTGCTAAATTTTGTTTTACAAAAATGGGCATTAGGTTGCACATTCTGGATTAACACCTGTAATTACTTAAATATATTTATAGTTTTAAAATTACACCACTTTATTTTTTAAATTAAAATAACGTGACATCAAAATTAGAAACAAATATACTGACTGATATTAAATTATAGTAGTAAAAGTTAATTTTAGAAACCTTTTGATGAATTTCATTATGCAAGTCGCTACCATTCTTTATGAGCATTACAATCGGAAATAGTACTAAATCCTACTCTGAAACAAATTTAAAAAAAATTTAGTTTATTTGAATATATAATCGAAAAATTAAATAAACTTTTTGCTAACTCAATAGCTGCCAACATTTGTACCAGAAACGTTTTGAGTGGTAGTGAAATTATAAATATATTGGTAATTGTAAGGAGAAATAAGCAACAATAAATTACTTAACATTCAACATGCATGTTAAAAGCTAAGTAGCTTTAAGTTTTTTTTGTAAGTTTAAACCAATTTCAGTGTTCTCCCTAACCAAATTTAGAAGGCTGGCCAGAAATGCCTGCTCTTTGATCCATATAATTGCACCCATTTTGCAAAAATAAGCAGCCATCGCTTAATAACACTGCCTTGTTATTCATGTTTCATTTAAAAAAATTAATTAGCTGTTTAAATAATAATTACACACGGGGAAAATTATCTGTGTTTATAGGTTTAATTCTGATAACTATGAGACATAAAATAGCTTAAGAGGGTAGTTTAAAAATTGTTGAGGATCAAATTCTGCACACGTTGATAAATTTATAACATTAATATCAATTATTAAGATGAAAATTTAATGTTTTTTTTAAAATTTATTGTTGTAAATTTTAATATAAAGGAGCATGAGATATTTAAGATTAAGTATTTCTTCAGTTAAAAAAAATATTTAACAGTGGAATGATTAAAAAGAATAAAATTGTTAAATGGGCTACATAAATACATATAATAAAGTTATGTCTTAGTTCTAAAAACAAAGAATAAACTATTTTTTTAATCATTTATTTTAACTTAAATGAGTTTCAAATATAACAATGTTCGAATTGATATATTGCAACATTAAGAAAAAAAACCTTAAAAATATTTTAAAGGAAATTTGAATATTTTTTTAAACCATATTTTTAAAAATATAATATAAAAATTTTAATTTTAAAATATAACAACAATGAATATATGCAAACTGTATATAATACAAATTTGTTCACTTAAGTAACAGAAAACAAATCTAAAACTAAACTGAAAAAATAAAATTTAGAAAAGCACTTTATTTCCATTTATACTTGAATGTAGCAAGAATTATGTATCTTTAACATTACAATAAAGATTGAGAAACTTTAATTCTTTCAATAATTACATGATTTAGCTAACTTTAAATACAGTACAAAACCCGCTATCCGGAAATCAGAAAACCAAAGAACCGGAACGAAATTCGATAAATTTTCCCACCATTTTTTTAAAAAATTTCTTTTTTCCTCATAAGATTTTAGGATTTTTCTTTCTTTTTTGAAAGATTTTTACCTTACCATCATTTTGGAAATAATCATTAGTGTATTACTTTATCGTTTTTTCTTCTTTTTAAGATTATTTCCAAATTTTTTATTTTAAGTTGGGTTTAACAATAAAAAAAAAAGGCTTTTTGTAGCGACTCAGAAAACCGGAAAAATCAGTTATCCGGAATAGCGATGGTCCCGATCGTTCCGGATAATCGGTTCCCTACTGTAATAACAGATCATGGAATTAGTTATGGTCTATTTTATTGTTTTTAGTATGCTTGTATAATTTTTATTTCAAATTAGGCAGTGGTAAGAAAAATAAAGCAAAGGATTATTAGTCACGCCCTCTAATAAATTTGTCTTATCTGACCTTTAATTTAGTGTTAAAATATTTATTAAATAATATGTTAAAATAATATATTGTCTGCTATATACCATAAATTAAAGAAAACAGTAGGTTTTTGACGATTTTTACCACTGTCATGTCAAAAACCAGTTTTTGACAGCAAAAACCCCACCCTGATTTATAAGTAATGGTGAACTAAGTTCTTTTAATTCCAATTCATTGAAATATTAATATACTATCTTTGCTAGCTACCACTGAAAAAAATATTTTCAGAAACTACAGAAAACCTGCTGCAGAATTATTACCAAAACTGCATCAATTACCATATTGGTAAATTACCTACTGGCATTACCTGATCATATAATACCAGTAGTACACAATAATTAAGCATCATCTGTGAATGGCAATTTTCTACAGTTTTCCAAAAATTTTCTATCAAGCATTTCTCCTTTAACTTTGCTTTTTGCAAATAGCTTATTATATTTCAATTAATACATAGTATCAATATTCATAAAGCATTCATGTCAATAATGTGGTGATTTTTTACAGCTTCTCAAAATGAATAAGTGTTTTTCCTTCCTTATTTTTGCTTTTTAGCACATAAGTTTTTTATTTATATCAATTAACATATTGCCAACATTAATGAAGAATCATTGTCACAAATGGTAGTATCCCAGAGGCAGAATTTTTTCTGGCTTTCTGCAACAAACTTACCTAGCACTAATATTTTGCATTAGGATATTTTTAATTGTAACAATTACTTATTTAAAGTAACAGAAACGTTGTGTTTACAGAAGAAAGTATAAAATAAAAATATATAAAAAATTTTAATTAGTAAAAATAATATTTCTTTTAATTCTAATAAAATAGGCGACATTCTCGCATTTTGTAGGCGGAAAAATGCACTAATTATTTCCGCTTTCGAATTTCCTAAATCATTACACAAATTAATATTCATAAATAAATTAAAATTCGTACATAAATTAAAAATCGCAAAATCCGTGCATTAACTCCCAAAATATAGATCATGTATCATGCGAATAGGACTCTTTAAAAAAAAAAAAGAGTTGTTCATAAAAGAAAAAATAATAAAAGAAAGAACAGAATTTCTAGAGCAAACTATCTTTTAAACCTTCCTGATATCTGAATTTTTTATTTTATATTATTAATATTAAATTCTAGCTGAAGTCAGTCATTACCTTTTTTTTTTTAAATCTCAAGAATAGAAAAATCATGATTATTTTCTCTCTGATGCGCAAGAAAGACATCTTTAAAAAAAAAAAACATTTTTTGAAAAATTATGCAGAAAAGGAAAACAAACATTTTTCCTTTCCCAAATGAAAAATCTTTCTGCAAAAATTATGAAACGTTCCGTGACAATGTCGCCGCAATTCTGTCACGGGGGGTAGTATGATGATTTCTTACCTATCTTTTAGACAAATGAGTAACTATACTTCATTACTTTAGCTTTTCCTAGTACATAACTTATTTCAATATGCATATATTACCTAAATTAAACATAATTGGTGTCAATAATAAAACGAAGTAGAAGCACCACATTCCCATTAATTTTGCCTTTAAATACATAAATATTTTTTCTATTCAATTACCATTGATTTTAAATGAATAATTATTTAGAAATACATTGTAGAAGCATAAATAAAAAAAAGAAGCATGTGATATCAGACCACTTTAAGAATATAAATTTGATGACGTAGAGACCATGTATAATCCCCCAATTTATCAGACATAGCGAATATAAAATAATTAAACATTTAAATACATGCAATAAATAATTTTTTGATTGATAATCTAGAAATTATCACTGGTGTTATCTTTAAAATATGTGAAAAATTCAAGCGTCTATAATTAAATTTAAAACAATGGCTAACGTTTAACCTATCAGAAAATTTCATTTTGTTTTTAACCCATCCCGCTTGAATGGTTCACTATAGAATGCTCTAATGTCGACAATGACCTTCCTTAGGAGTCTATAAAAGTCACACACAGACATTCATTTATATGTAGTGTAAATCCATACGTAAATCCACATCTCCAAGTGTAAACAAATATTGTTTTATTTAAAGAATTATAAAATAAAGTAGTACTAAAAAAAGCTTATTTTATCATGAAAAACAAAATCAGAATACCAAGTTAGTCGCCTTCAACAATCTTTTGTCAATTTGGTGCATTTTTGTATACTTTTAAATGAGAATTTGTAGATAACTACACTATTTTAACTTTTATATGTAGTGCAAAATATACAAATAGTAATCTATAGTTTAGAGAAAGATAAAATGCATTATTTTGAAAAAACTTTTGTTTTTGTTTATAAAAAGGATATGAGGATAAAGTTTTGTAACTTGAATGCAAGAATGCACAATTGATTGCAAAACATATAAGTAGCAAAGCATAGTTTAGCGAATTGTAAAAAAAAAATATTATGAAATTTTGTTTTTAATTAAAAGAGAGATTGGATATATATATATATTTGCCTGGAATAAGCTTGCCTAAAACCTTTCAGTTAATTGAAACATTATGTACCTATAGGTACTATTTGTGTAAGATAATACATTGGTAAATGTAGTATCTCTGTATTTATCAGTAGTATAGAAGTGGTCCCTGTATATTTTTGCTGAAATTAAATTTTGTAACCTTTTTTCAATGTCAATGTTCATGAAGTACTAGCATTTTAGTTCTAGCTAAATTAAAAATTAACCGGGAATTGGTAAAATTATATACTGTTTAAAAGGCTTTAATTTAAAAAGGGCATTCATTTAAAGTTAAAATTGTAACTGATAATTATCACATATGAAGAGCTGAGTAGATAAACCAGGTAAGCAACATTTTCAGAGTGGCTATAATCAGGATACGAAGGAAAAAGGATGCATCCGAACTATTTTATTAGATGGTGGAGCTAATAATTCCTTGCTTTACTTCATTTACCATCACTTAATTTTAAATAAAAATCATGCAAGCATACTCAAAACTAATAGTGGATTAGTTATGTCATAATTCTATAACAGTGGCATAAATGTAATTAATTTTTTAAATATGCTTCAGAAAAATGCATAAAATATAATATTAAACACTAATACTTCTAATAAATTTGAAAATAAACATTAAAAAGAAAATTCATAACGAGATTAATTTTTTAGGAAAAAATGTAAGACTTTCAAGGAGACCTAAGTTTTCTTTTTTCCTAAATTTTTAGGTGTTTTAAATAATTTCCCTCCATGAAATTCTGAATTAACAATTTCATAGTTATACTTTATCTATCATTGAAGAGTATTAATCTATAAAGAAAAAATTAAAGTAACATTTTCTTCTTTCAGTAACCATTTTAGGTTTTAAAGTTTTACAATAAGTTTATTTTAATATAAAATATCCTATTGTCATAAAAAAATCAATATATTTTTTGCAAAAATAGTGGGATGATAATATGTAACTTACAACTACTTGATCTATTTTATTGACACTAATTGCAAGGAAGAATTTCATGCGATATCGCGTGGTCCGTCGAAAACTTATAAACTAAGGTAACTTACAGAACAAATAGTGCCATCCATGGAAATAAATGGGTTTACGTTCTAATTTTTTACTTTACTGCAATTATATCTATTTACTAACAGGAGTCTCAGCATTGACTAGTTAAAAAGTAAAAGTTCTGGGAGTAGTAACATTTTTATTGCTGCAGCATTTTTTTTATAACATTTATTTAGCATTAAAACGAATTATTGGAAAAATCTTACTATAAAGTGGTTATACATAATTCGGAAGATTTCAGACTAAAATGTGAAAAACAAAAGTTCTTTACATTTTATTTTGAAGAAGAAAAAAAAATTTCATAGTATATGTTGGAATTTCCACAGAACAATTTACAACACTATATAGATGCACAGTATTAAAAACTAACTAAGAATCATTAAAAATTGATCAGCAGTATTTTCTTAAGGAAAAGGAACATTCTTTCATTAACAGTATTAAAAGAGAGGAAATTTTATCACTGCTGATTTCCAAGAATATAAAAAAAATAAAATCGAAATATCGGGAGAAGCGTCTTCGGCTTCAAAAGGTACTCTAGACCTACTTTATAAGTATTAAAAAATATTGCATGTCCTTTAAGATTAATCTGAATAAATTCAAAATACTTTTTTGCAAAAATTAAATTAACTGATATGGTCTGTGTATTTATCAGACGCTATGAAATGCTTTGCAAAGGAATGGGCAATTTTCCAAAATTTCAAAAATAATAATGTGAATAATAAAATATTAAATAAATATAATTTTTTTTTTTAAAGTTCCTTCACCGATTAATTTAAAGAAAGCAAAACCGAAAATAAAAAAATCTGTTTCTTCAGCAAGGTTATTTATAAAAACCTTTCATCCGATATGCAAGAGGTTTGCAGAAAGTAGGTCACTGGAGCACGTGAAACCGGGAAATTGCCGGGCAGGGCCATTCAGATGTAAACAAACATTGAATCGTTGGACGAACTTTTAAGTTGAAAAATCACCTAAGTAAGTCTCATAAAAGATAAATAAACAGAAAAATTTCCATTTTTAGGCATATTAACCGCTTTAAAGATCAAAGTATAAAGAGAAAGGTGAAGAAAAATAATAGAACCGACCAAACGGCGACTCCATTTTAAACACTGAAGACCTTCTTTACACGAAAAAAGCTTAAAAAAAACTAGAAATACAGAAGAAGTATACAGAAATTGCTAGAAGGAAAACAAAAATTGAAAAAAATAAAAAAAGTATTTTAATGCAATTTTTCTTATAACTCACTTAACCTAGACAAAGAAGTGAGGGTGTAACCTAGAAAATCACCTCATCATCAAGCACGCTGGATCATACCAGCTACCTCATATCCTCTAGTTCGGTAAGTATTCATTAATTAATTCATAATCATCCATAATAAACAGTGGAAAGTTAACAAATGTTGTTTTATATTCCTTTCATCTTGTTAAGTTATAAGACTACCTCCCCTTTTCAAAATGTTGCCCAATGCGTGTTTTAAAACGCAGCAGCACCTGCACGAGTCCCGTGAAAACGAGCCCGGGGAAAAATCCCCGGGTGTAGATGCGACGTCACCGGCCAGACTTCGACCTCCCGAGATGATCTACTGATCTACTGCGCATTACTACAGCGCAGAACGTGCACTATAGTAAGTTTTCGGTAGGCCGATGTTAGTGTAGGATGCAGTTATAAAATATTTTTTAGGATTTTAAAGTTGAATTCCAGTTTCATTTGCAATGGATTACTCCGTGAAAGTTCCAGGAACACTGCAGAGGTGTTTTTAACCCGATAGCAAACGGAAGGATTAAATGTGCAATCATTTTTCTGCAGCCTCTCCGATCCCTCTATATCTGGATATGTTCCGTGTTGTGAGTGTAGTAAGGATCTTTTGTAGAAACCTTAACATCACTTTCGGAGCGAGAGCTTTTGCAATTCGTTTACCTACTTTTCTTTCGAAATGCGTATTTAAAAATTAAAGCCTTCTAATGTTTACTTGCATCGTGCTTTTTGCAATTATAATATGCATGGAGAAAATCCATCGCAAATAAAATGTATTGCATGGAAATGAAAACTATTCACTCAGCTGTGACGAAGTTCGCAAAGAGGAAATTAACCGCAGAAAAGTTTTGCGCTAGCTCTTCGTGTAATATTTTAACTTTTATTCGCATTAATTATACTTGTTTATTAGAAGGAAATACAATTATTTGATTAATTAATTAAACTTTTTTCAAATAAATTTTAAAAATTAATTGAGAAAAAAAATAAATCGAAAATTTCTTAATATTTTATCTAGTTTTATTTTGGCTTCAATTTTAGATTTCAGAATTTTTTTTCCAATAAAAAATTCGAAATTTAGATTTTACTCATACTTTATTCAAAAATTTTATAACCTAATCTTTTAAAACTTCGATAAACTTTTCATAATCTCGACCGCAGTGCCTTTCAGTACTTATTACTGATGCGTTGCATTTATAAGAACATTGTCAAAAATGACGAACGAATAACAAGTGCAAACGAAAAACTTTTTTTAAGTATCGTCTGAAAAAAATGTAAATAAGTATTTCCCCATATTTTAATGAGGACTACAAAAAGAGCATAAAGATCAAAGCAGAATAGAACTGTCTGTCGCCGGGAAAAAAATAAAAACAAACGATTTATTTTTATGACCGGCTTTAAAAAATAAAAAAAATTACAGAAAGGTATCCAAAATATTCGCTCTTAACCACTCTGCAGGTTCCAGACGATGTTCCTGTGAGTGATTGGTCTCAGCTAAAATCCGTTTTCTCCGAACTCACACCCACACGTTTTATGTCACAGATGTCGCGATACACGTGAGGCAGTACATTACACCGCCGTGAAGTATTCTCTGGCGCGTAAAGGAAGTGTTTTCTTCGACTTTAGTACAGTGTAGCATGGCCGAAGGTCCTGCCAGTGCACATGATATAGGCGAAGGGAGTGAATTTATGGACCAGCCCTCGACCAGTAGCTCCGCTAGCAGAGATTCTTCTTCGAAGGTGAGTGCTCTCTTTCTCTTTAGCAGACGATTGCTGCAGTTGCCGGTTTAACGGGTCGCGGCAATTTAAACCACGTGTTCCGGGTACATATTTATCCGGCTATGATAAAAATTACTGTGGTCTCCCGATTAGGCTTATTGTTGATCTTCAGAGGGAGGGGGGGTGGGAGAAATCGTTTGATTCTTCTATTGTGATGTTAAATGAAGGATTGTAGGGAAAGTATTCATGCCTTTTGGTTACTTTTACAAATTATTTTTAGCATTATTATAAAAAAATTTTACATTTAATTTTGGTGTTGTGTTTTTAGACTGATGTAGTGTTTTTCTACATATTACATTTAATTAAAGAAATTGGTTATAAGTTTACCTGGAAATTTGAAAAAATTTAAAAACATGCGCATTAATATGATGCATATTGCCTGAGATAGATATTCTTGCTTTCATAATTGCAACCAAGCATGCATACTTAAGCATCAGTAGGTCTGAAATGGATTTAAATTTTTAAAAATATTTAACATTTAAAGGAACAGCAGAAATATTGAGTGGCTATTAAATTCGCTCTATAACAGATTAAAAATTACTTTAATTAAAAATAGCGATTGTGTTTAAGAAATGCTCCAACAAAGTTAATTAGTGAATTATAAATCTTTGAATTTTTAAACTCTTTAAATATATACATCTTAACAAAAAAACAGTTATGTACTTTTAAGAGAATATCTCACATATAATAATAATTATTTTCGTGTTTACAATTTAGGTTTTGAAACCATTAAAGCCGGACTTTAAATAACACAGTAGTGGGCTTAGTTCGCATTTTATTAAAATTTAATTGGAAGTGTTTTTTTTTTTTTTTTTTTTTTGCTTTAACCTCTAAATAACAGACACAAGAATGATGAATAAGCATATATATATATATATATATATATCAATGTAATCAAAAACATTTTCAGTTAAATTTATAAGATGGAAATTAAATCAAAAAAGTATAAATGATACTACCTATTAATATATATGATATAGATATAAGCAATTTATATATTTATATATCAAAAATCACAGTACAGTGCTTTTTCAAAGCTAAAGATGTAAGGATAAAGATAAAAAAGGAAATATGAATTTGGTGTTAATATACTTGACGTCACTTTTTTGTGAAAGCTCTTTTGCAATGTTTTTAGTCTGGCATTAGTGGGTTAATACGTGTGGTACTGATTGATTTAAACAGGAAATTGAGTGGAAACAAATTAAAAATTGGCACAATATTAAAAAGCGGTAGTAAATGGAGGGCTCACCACCAATAAGATCTGTGGTAAGTTTGTTTTCTCTAGAAGAAAAGTGGTTGCAGAAATGGTTAATAATTAAGTTTTTTAAAAGGTTTATTTTATTAACTAATTGTTCTGTCTACCAAACTACTTCAGTATTATAAATTCCTCTATTTCGATTTGAAATGGAAGCACAGTATTCCTTTAAAGCTTAAGTGGTAGGTAGTTGATAGAAATATAGTCAGACTTCTATTTAACAAACTTCCATTTTGAGAATTTCTCTATTTTGCAAATTTTTTTTAGGAACCAAGAACATTTTGGAAATTTCTTCGTAAAATAACTTCCAAATAGCGAACTGAATTTTCTATTTAATGAAATTTTCTTTGAGATTCACTTTCCCTATTTCCCAAAATGTTTCTGAACATTTTAAACTTGTTAACCCATTTTATAGAAGAAATGACATTGAATTGATTTTCGAAGCACCCACAACTTTTAAAGAAAGCAGTAAAACCCCTTTCTCTTTTTGTTTGCATTTCAAACGAAAAACTCAGACAAAATTAACGGATTTTAGCAGTAACAATTAAACCTAAGAGCGCATGTGGTAATGTATGTTTAAAATTACTTTGCAGTTATAATTTTATGCAGCAAATAAATCCAGTTATAATTTTTTACATAAATTTAGCTTTTTTTAGTTGAAAATGTTTGTAGCATGATAATGTAACACTGGATAATGTTTTTCTCTATTCTTGCTTTCCATGCAGATTTCTTTTATGACTAAGATTTATAAAATAAATAGTAGATACTAGGTTTCAAGATCAAGGTGTATCAATTTGCCATTTTAATTATGTCCAGTGTTTATAAATTTAAAACCTGTTTTGTGTTTTTTAAGTATGTCAAAAGGTGATTTTCTATTTAACGAATTTTCCTTATAACGAACTTATTATCGGGATTTAGTAACTTCGTTAAATGGAGGTCCGACTGTATTTATTTTGTGTACAACCACTTTCTTCATAAAGGTCTTCGTCGAATGAAGACTTTTTGTTGCTAGACATTAATATATTACGTAGTGTTTCTTGCTGATCCCGCCGAAAAACGTAAAGGTTGATATTATAACTACACAATTTTGTTTACCTCTAGTTAAACAGACACTCCAACTATTACGAATTCTTTGTAATTTCAGAAAATATTTTTCCCAGTATGACGAGGGTAATGTAGAAATAATTTAAAAAATTGGAATTGAAAGATTTGAAGTATTTTGCCAAGAAATAATATATATCACAGAGATATCCCTTAAAAAAAAAAAGTGCTTTTTCATAAACAAGGGCATCTTCAGTTTTGAAGGTCATTAATCTTGCTAAATATACTAATTATATCTAGCTAGATTAGTGTTTTTCAGAATAAAATTAAAAATACTCAAATAAATATTAGTAGTAATAGAATCTTATATTGATTTAACCTAAAAGTAATTTTCACTAGTTATAGTAATCTGAAGATTCTCCCTTCTGTTATTGCTATTTCTTTTTTTAAAATAAAAAGAGCATTTTTTTTTTAAAAAGAGGGGGGACTACATTTTTACGAAAATGGCATGGAGGGAGCATCTTCCCCTGTGAAAGGGCAGACGTGGGCCACCCTTCTCAAAACGCTTGGGGAAAACATTAATATATATCAAAGTTCTCCCTAAGCGTCTCCCTGCTTACGTTTTGATCCCTATAAATGCACCCACTTTGTCCTTTTTGTAAAAAATAAGCCATCCCTAAAAAACACTGCCTTTTTATTCATATTCCATTCTGAAAAAAAAATTAATTTACTGTTTAAATAATAATTAACACACTGCTCAAATTATCTATGTTTATAGGTTTAATTCTGATTATTATTATAAATATTTACGTTTTAGGATTATTCTCAATCGGTTCATCAAATGTTATTTATCAAATGGTAATTTTCTCATAATTTTCAGTTCAAATTGTAGGAAAAAGTTTTTTCAAGTTGCAAGTTGTTTATCAATTAATCACTTTTTTTTCTAGTTGACTTTTTTTGAAAAAGAAAATTATGCATAGAGATTTTCTCTTGGCATGCCCTTAATTATTTTTATAAACTGCAAATTTTTCTATTATTTTGAAGGTAAAATTATTTTTTAAAATATTCATATATAACAGTATAAGAGGGTAATTTACAAATTGTTGAAGATCAAATTCAGTTAATACGTAATATTACAAATTTTAATTAATTTTTACGGTGTTAATTGGGTGCTCTTTCAAAATTCAAAGTACACTTTTCTGCGAGGAAGTGCTTTGCCTTTTTTATTCTTTGGGAGAACTCTGTATAATATAATATAATATAATATAATATAATATAATATAATAGTTCGCAGCAGCTCAAATATTGGGAGTTTCTGAGTTAAATGACAGCATTTTAGCTACCGAAACATAGAGTGATACAGAATGTCGAACTATCTCTAAGCCTGGATGAATGAGGTTTTAAAATTGAACCCCTGATACTGGATGCTTACCTCCTTACTTGTTAGTATTAAGGCTCCTATAATATTGGAGCAAACAGGTTCGCAAGTTAACGTTATGTTAGTATTAGTTATGTTATTACAGACACGCCAAAATAATTTAAAAAACGGTAAATAACTACAAAGTAAATTTTGCAAATAGTTGACAATATTTGCTTTGCTTTTAAAAAATTAAAGCATATAATAAGTACTATAAAGTGGTGAATTATATAAGCCTACGCATTGTTTAAAAATAGTCTTGGATTAAAATCTACTAAATCGAACTTATTAAACTAAGTATTACAATTAATAAACTACCACTTGAAAATATTTATTCGATGTGCTTATGTTAGCTCTTTGCTCCAACAATAAAAGATAAGTCGGCCTGTCTAATTCAGGGGCTCTAGTTAGCATAAATATAAATGTCGTAATTCAACATTATGCATTATCATTATTTAGCTGAATACAATTTGAAGCAATAATATCAATTAGTTGTCCTGAAATAAACATTACTTGTTTTTTATTTATTGAATCAATACAAATTTCAATATAAATGAGCGTGAGATATTCAACTAAAAAGATTTTATCAATTAAAAATATTTAAAATTCATAGATTGATGAAAAGAAATGAAAATGACAAATGTACTGCATAAATATAAATATGTAAAATTTTAAAGGTATGTTTTAGTACTAATTGTTTGGAAAATAAGGAGTAAATTTCTTTATTTTGTTATTTATTTTAACATGATGGAGTTTTAAATTTAACAATATTCTTATTGACGCATTGCAGCATAAAATTATGCTAAATGAATTTATATATTTTAACCAGATTTTTTTTAATATAATGTGAAAAATTTAATTTAAAAATTACGATAATGAATAATATTATGTACGATACACATTTATTTACACTGGTGACCGATATAATTCTAAAATTTATCTGAAAGCATTAAATTTAGAAAAGCCCCTCATTTCCATTTATACTTTTGACTATAGCCAGTAGCGTAGTTTTAAGAGGACAAAGCCCCCTCCGATATTAAACAATACTAGATTAATGAATTATCTAATTTTAGAAACTACAGAACATGGGTCATTTATTTTATTTTAAATATTTTTAAGAGACATTATGACTTTATTTTAAATTTTCTCGTATAAGTTAACACAATGAGCGATAGAAAGTTTCTTCCACAGTGGAAGAAACAGGCTTCTTCCTATCCAAATGGAAGAAACTCTTTTTTTTAAAAATAG